GCCCAGGTGTGGGGGTGTAAGGAGGATTTGGGGAACCCCAGCAGGGGAAAGCCCGTGTGGATGATGGGCAACGAAGAGGCTTTCTTTGAAAACCTTTTGCTTCTCACCCAAGAAGCTTCCGACTAAATGTCAGAACTGGAGAAGCTTCTTGGATGGGAAGCGAAACCTTTTCAAAGAAAGAAACCAAAACAGTCCAGTTGCCTTTTTGGAAAAAGCACCTCTGGGCCAACCATGACCTGGAGGAGTGAGGCTCTCCACAGACAAGGTAGCTTCCCCAAAATTGGAACATCCAGTTGTGGGTGTTTTGGCTAATAAGGAACTATTTCATTAATAACGTCGTCAAAAGAGCAAACCTAAAAAAAATTGGACCAGCGATGGGCAAGCATGAATTATTCACGGCTGCTATAAAAAGGCTTAGGACCAGCCAGAGGAAGTGACCGGCACTTTTGTGGTGCGCCTTCCTTTCCAGCTATAGATTTCTTGCCTCTTGCTGTTTTTTTTGCTTGTTAACCTCGGTTGCCTTTTGTGGTCTTCCCAGTCCATCGATCTGAAGAAACCCATCGACAAGCGGATCTATAAGGGGACGCAGCCCACCTGCCACGACTTCAACCAGTTCACGGCAGCTTCCGAGAGCATCTCTCTCTTGGTTGGCTTCTCAGCCGGGCAAGTGCAATACTTGGATCTGATCAAGAAAGATACCAGTAAGCTCTTTAATGAGGAGGTAAGTCCAGGGGAGCATTATTTACACCATAGAGCGTAATTGGAGGATCCCTGCGGGGATTTTTCGGCTCAGCCTGGCTCCGTTAAGTGGGAACAGGCAGCTAATAGCTTCTTGATAGCGGACATTGTTGTATCCCACATCTCTGGCTGGTGCTTGCTGGGATTTTTGAGAGTTCTAGAACAGAACATCTGGAGAACACTCTCCTTCCCTAAGTCTCTCTTGTTTTCAGTCTCTTCTTAATGACTTCCCTCATTACCGATTCTAATCAGCAGATTAATCAAGCTGCAGCTTTATTGCAGCAGTTCTTAAGACCGTACGGCTTGTGGCTTTGGAGCTTTGACAGAAAGATGACTCAGAGATTCAGCAAATCCATTGTCGTAGAACTGTGCCCAGGAGAAGAAGCAATTCACCCTCAAATTTGGCTCGTAGATTGCAATCTGCTGAAAGTCCGGAGGCCGAGATGGCCTCGCATTCTTCTGTGCTTAATGGAAGCATCCAGTAGGCCTTGATCCATCCCACCTCTTTCATTCTGCCTTTGTTTTACGTGCTTCCCATGCGAAGTAGGAATTCATAATAATCGGGCTATTTTTCACGTTTTTACTCTTTTGTTGTTTTAAAATGTTCTTAGTGTTTTTAATTCTCATGTATTTTTTTGGGAACTGTAAGCTGGCCAGAGTCATTCACTGAGATGGGCAGCTACAGAAATTGAATAAATAATAATAATAATTCTAGATGATCTCTGTCATCTAGCAAATTGGGGGTGACTTTCAGAAAAGGAGAATTGGGCCTGCTCAGACTTTGCCTTGGGGACCGAATTCCGAGGGTCGTTTTCATCTTCGTTTCTGGCTCTTTTTGCCCTCCCTGTCTTTCCTCAGAGGCTCATTGACAAGTCAAAGGTCACCTTTGTGAAGTGGATCCCCGAATCGGAGAGCCTCTTCCTGGCCTCCCACGCCAGCGGTCACCTGTACCTATACAACGTGGAGCAGCCCTGCGTCTCGGCCGCCCCCCAGTACACCCTCCTCAAGCAAGGCGAGGGCTTCACGGTTTACGCCTGTAAGAGCAAGAACGCCCGGAACCCGCTCCTGAAGTGGGCGGTGGGCGAAGGGGCCCTGAACGAGTTCGCCTTCTCGCCCGACGGCCGCTACCTGGCCTGCGTCAGCCAAGACGGTTGCCTGCGCGTCTTCCATTTCGACTCCATGCTGCTGCAGGGCATGATGAAAAGTTACTTTGGGGGGCTGCTCTGCGTCTGCTGGAGCCCCGACGGACGCTACATCGTGACGGGGGGCGAAGACGACCTGGTCACGGTTTGGTCCTTTGCAGAGGGCCGGGTCATCGCCCGGGGCCACGGCCACAAGTCCTGGGTCAACGTGGTGGCTTTCGACCCCTACACCACCAGCAAGGAGGACGACGAGAGTGGGGAGCTGAGCGGCAGCGACGAGGATCTCCAGGAAACGTCCGAGTTCCGGCGGGTGAGGACCAGCAGCACCCTCTCCCACCTGTCCAAGCACAGTGCCAAAAGCACCCCCTCGGTCACCTACCGATTTGGGTCCGCTGGGCAGGACACCCAGTTCTGCCTCTGGGACCTGACCGAAGACGTCCTGTACCCCCACCACCTCCTGCCCCGCACCCGAACGCTCACCAACACTTTTGGCGCCGGCATTCCTCCCTCGGGCAGCGGGGGCAGCAACCTGGCCGCCGAGTCGGGCGGCGGAGGGGGCCCGCTTCCCCGCTCCCTCTCGCGCTCCAACAGCCTGCCGCACCCGGCCGTCACCAGCGCCGCCAAGAGCCACGCGGCCGACGGGACGGTGCCCTTCAGCATCGGCAAATTCGCCACCCTCACCCTGCAGGAGCGGCGAGACAAAAACGCGGAGAAAGAGCACAAACGCTACCACAGCCTGGGCAACATCAGCAAGAGCAGCGACAAGCTGAACGTGGTGCCGAAGAGCAAGCTGGACACGGCCAAGGTCCTGGGCACGGCTCTGTGCCCCCGCATCCACGAGGTGCCCCTGCTGGAGCCGCTGGTGTGCAAGAAGATCGCCCACGAGCGGCTGACCGTCCTGCTCTTCCTGGAGGACTGCATCATCACCGCCTGCCAGGAGGGGCTGATCTGCACCTGGGCCAGGCCAGGCAAGGCGGTAAGTGGGCCGGCCTTCTCCCTCTCTCTCCCTCTCCCTCTCTCTCTCCCTCTCTTCCCTGCCCCTCCCCCTGCAGGGAAGCCGTGGCTGCTTTGCTAATTGGTTACTGCTTAAAGGCCCTGTTCAATGTTTGAGCCGGGATCGGCCAGCGTTCCTTGGTAGGCTGGGCTGGGACTGGATACCGGCAGTCCTCGGCTTGCAGCCGCAATTAAGCTCAACTTGCCAAGCAAGGTGGGCGTTAAGTGAATTCCCCCCCCCCAATTTTATCCTCTTTTTGGCCAAGGCTGTTAAGTGAATCACACAGTCGTTAAGCAAATACAGCTTCCCCCGTCGACTCTGCTTGTCAGGGGCCGTCTGGGAAGGTCACAAAGGGTGATCAGTGACCCCGGGACGGTGCAACCGTCGTAAATAGGAGCCCGTTGACCATGGGGGAATGCTGCAACGGTCGTTAAGTGTGAAAGCAGGGCACAAGTCACTTTTCACTCTGCCGTTGTAACTTTGAACGGTCACTAAATGAACTGTGTTGTAAGTCGAGGACTGCCTGTAATTTGAGATTCCCTGTGTTGGAGGAGCCCAGTTTTCACCTTGCTGCGCTGTGTGAAGCGAGCCATTGATTTACAGTATCCTATCACTGGTTTGCTTGGGAGGAGGAGGAGGAAGAGGAAGAGGAAGGGTTGGTGTTGGTGCTCTCTCAGCTTGGTGGCTTTCATTACCAAACTAGGTAACCTCATCAGTGCACCGGTACTCTGATCTACCAATATTCTCTTTGCGCTTGGTTCCTGCTTGAGATTCCCTCGTGTGCGAACGTGGCTTCCCTTATATCTAGCAGCGTAACCGAGTTTAGCCTTTATTCCCCAGCAGGTGAACCTCCCTGCCTTAGCCTGTTGGTAGGTCCAGTGATCACTAGATCCCCTAAGCCTGTCTGGTGGCAGATCCAGGTAGAAAAGCAGAGGGCGATGGCTTGCTTAGCTGCAAATGGCCAGAATGACAGACTAGCAGGAAGACGTCGCGGGCTAATTAGTAGGCAGAAGGCAGGCACGACCCCCCGCAGATTGATTCCACGTCTAGCGATTCACCCCACGTGACTAAAAAGCCACCTTGTCTTCCACTTTGGTTTTTCAGACCCTGAATTCTTACAACGGGGGCTCTCCCAGCGGCACAATCGTGTAATCGGCACTAACTCAACGCTCGGCTGCTCTCCAGTTTGGAACCGGGGAGAGGAGCTGAAACGCTCCAAGGAGGAAACTTGACCAAGAGGGGAAAGTTTCCCGACATTTTCGACGTGTGTTGTACAGGTTGTCTCTTCCCTCCCTCGCCTGTGAATCCCGACTGTGTGGCAATTGGAATCCTAACCGTTAACCTCTCGAGACCAACAGCGTAGTGCAGGACGGACGGCGCCTCTCCGCTATTTAAAAGTATTAATTAACAAACTCATTATTTAATGCTAAGGTTTGAGCACAGGGTGCTGGAGGGGCAGATTTTGCACAAGGGTGGACTGAGCTGCCCCCCCTCCCTCCTCTTCCCCCCCCCACTTCAGCCAGACAGAAATTCTGTCCGGCTGTCGGCTGTCTTGGCTGTGACCCAGCCCAACCTTTCCTAAACTCCATCTTCCTGGCTGCTTAGGGGGAGGAAAAACCCCCAGAAGGAATCTGTTTTGTACAGGGGAGATAACAATAATTCCCTACCGTGTGTAACAGTCCTTGTCTGCCCCCTATCCACCCCCCCTGCTTTGCTTTAATGGACAACCATAATTCCATTTTTGCCCAAGAAACCCCAGTATTTCTGCTGACCGGAGGTAGCAGTCATACCTCTGTCCAGAGGGTAGTTCTTCCTTTCCAAGTGGATGGTCCTCCTCCTCCCAGTTCAGCCAACGGACTCCTAAGGACACTCCCTCAGTCTTTCAAGATCCAGCACGATACTGCCAGGGAATTCTTGCCATCCGTTGTTTCCGACGTCTTTTGTTGTGTTGTGGACCTCGGCTTCGGTTTCCCACCTCCATCTCGGAAGGAGCCATCTCAGAATTCCCCTCAAAGCGAAACGGATTTTCTTTCCATCGGTTGGGTCCTTGGAGCGTTGGCTACTACTTGATGCTACTCAAGGACGGCTTGCTCCACCGGTCAGCTCCGGTCCCCGACCCCCCCTCCCTCCAATTGGGGTCTCATTGTTGGGAGAGCAATCTCTGGCCAAACCCGATCCTTTCTCTCTCTTGACACGTGTTTGTCGTTGCTGCCTGTCCTGCCGATTAAGAAATGTACATATTTATGCATCGGCGATCCCAGCACATCCACTGTTGATTTGCATAGACTCATGGTACAGTCTTTAAACACACACACACACACACACACACACACCTGTCTGCATCCAGACTGGGGCTTCTTGAATTCAGCCACTTTTAAGGTGTGTGGACTTCAACTCCCAGGATTCCCCAGCCAGCCATGAGAACGGGAGTCCACAAATCTTAAGTTGCTAAGAAGCACCGGTCTAGGCTACGTAGTGGCAGCATCTGATGCTTGTCCGGTCAGTTGTTTAGCTTAGACTCGGAGATGGCCTGCTGTGGAAGTTGTCAAGAGGTTTTTGGTCACAAAAGAGTCGATCTGTAGGATGGTTTGTGGCAAATCCTGGTTTCTGGAGCCGCAGTTCTCCATCTTGATGTGCCAGACTAAGGAACGTTGGTCTTGCAGCGGAGCAAAACTCTGTGGTCATGAGGGCTCCTTGTTGCTCTCTCAGCTTGCTTGTTTTGCAGATGTTTCATTACCCAAACTAGGTAACATCATCGGTGCTAGTAAACCTCCCTCCTTACCAGCCACTGATGATGTTATCTAGCTTGGTAATGAAACGTCTGCAAGAACACCACCAAGCTCAGAGCACCAAGGAGCCCTCATTTCAACCCTGTGCTGCAAATATTCTCCTTTATTGCGATGTGGTCGTGTTCCTGAGTTGGTTATTTTGAGTCGGTAGAGTAGAGCCGCACTTCTCAACCTCAGCAACTTTCAACTGCAGAATTCCTCAGCCAGGATGCATTCTGGGAGTTGGGAGTCTAAACATCTTGAGGTTGCCAAGGAAACAGTGGAATAGATTTTGAATTCTCGGTGTCTCTTGGGTCACTCGGCTTCAGACTGATTTAGGGTTCGGGTTGCCTAAGGTGAATTTTCAGAAGTTGTGCGGTGTTTAGGAAAAAAAAAAAACAGCTTCTCCAAAACAGATTCAGAGCCAACCAAAACATTTTTAAAAGCGTTTTAAATTTAGCATGGAATCTGGAAAATATCCCAACTATGCTTTGGGCCAGTGGACAATTAAGGATAGTCTTCGTGTCTTTTTATTTAGAGACAGAGAGAGAGAGAGAGAGAGAGAGAGAGAGAGAGAGAGAGAAGTGTTGCTGGAATTGTATTTAAAATGGATAATTATAATTAAATATGGATAATTATAAATATCAAAATACGTACTGCAAGTGTCTTTCCTTTAAAAAAAGACACATTTCGGTTGGCTGTGCATCAGTAGTCGGTTGCAACAGTGCAGATTTTTTAATCAGTTTAGTTTCCCAGTGAATTTGATCAGTGGGAAAAAAAAATAGAGCTTGGCTCACTTTTAGAGGCTATATAAGATAGAAGTGAGGTATAAATGAAGTAGGATTTCTACACGTGGCCCATTGAATTGTTTTTTTTTTTTTCTGTTAGAGCGGTGTTCCTCGGCTGGCTGGGGAATTCTGGGAGTTGAAGAGCACTCATCCGCACGTGACTAAGGTTGAGAAAAGAGGTTTATAGAGATTCTCAGTCATCCAAGGTCCCGGTGGTCCCAAAGATGCTTTTTCAGGAGGCAACTGGACTTCCTCGTTTTTCTTTGAAGACCGTTTCGCTTGCTGGGCGAGAAGAAGCAGCTTGGATGAGAAACGAAACGTCTTCAAAGAAAAACAAAGTCCAGTTGCCTCGTGAAAAAGCATCTTTGGGACTGCATTAGAGAGTCCCGTAAGTCTCCGTGGGAAGAGACTCCAAATTGGTCTCCTCCATCGTCTTTGTAGCTTACGCGCAGTCAGAGCTGCGTCTTGGCGCATTCATATGCTCCATCTGATTGTGCTGCTAGCCGAGGCCGCTGTTTGGCTTAAAAAACAACATCTTGATTAAGCCGTAGGAAGAGCCGCCCGCTAGGACCGATTTTTAAAAGCCAGTTGAGGCTAGAAGTGGGTTCAAATGTTTGTGGCTTAGCTAGTTCTAATCACGCCTGTTCCGTACACCCACTTAGGACAACATTCATCACTCGCAATTTCCTTTCTGATCCGGGCGAGGTTTGGCTCATCTTGGGTCAAGCCCGTAAAAAAGCCTGCATTCGTTCGTCAAGTGGACCAGGGTTTATCCCGTTGGCTGTGTGATCGCTTGATAAACTTCCATACCGACCAGGAATCGTTCGCGGCACCACCGGCTTTGTTCAGTTCATCTTTGGCTCTGCAAGTTGCAAAAATTCAGCCCGGCAAACAAAAGGCGCCCATCCCACCCCAGGGCAGACGGAGGACTGAACGACCACAGGCGTGAGTTTCCTCTCCCCCAGGATTAAAAAGCCATACAACCACGGACCCCAACCCCCATCCCGAAGTGAAGGGAGGGGGAGGAAAGGAGAACCACCTTTTCCCACCCGATCTGCTTGGATTCTTGGCGGCGAGACGGGACGGACCTCAGAAAAACAGTATTAATTTGCTTTTCCCTCCTCTTTCCCTGACACGACACCCGCCCCCCCATGCATGTCTGGCCCCCTGTGACCCTTTGCAAAAAGCCAGCTGGTGTCTGGCAGCCAAGTTCTCCCTCCCTCCCCCCCCGTGTCCTTTGCCCTCCCTACTCCCCAACTTCGCAGAACAACACATCTGGACGCTGCAAATGCCCTCCTCCCCCCCCCCTCTCCCCGGTGCCTTTCGTCACTTTACTACCTGCTCTAAACGTTTGTTACTGTTGTGTCTGAAAAAGCGTTTAAATTATAGAAATGGTGAATGCCTATTTATACTAAAGAGACCGTTTTCACAGCTCAGACTCCCCCGAGGATTGTTGATTGCTGGCGGGGGATCAAGGAAGGCGGTTTGTGGGGCGGGGGATCAAGGAAGGCGGTTTGTGGGGCGGGGGGGGAATCAAATCTGAGAGGAGACCACAGGTAGCCCTTGGCTTACAGCCCCTGACTTACTGCCCCTGACTTACAGACTTGCCAAGCGCCTGGATTTGGATCACGTGACCACAGAGATGCTGCGACGGTCGTTAAGTGTGAAAACTGGCCCTAGGTTGCTTTTTCCATCGCTGCTGTAAATCTGAACCGTTGCTAAACTGTTGTAAGTCGAGGAGTACCTGCAAAGAGTGGAAATCCTGATGGGCAGGGATTGTGGAAACCCAACTGCTTGAGTTTGATTCCTTGCACGTGTGTGTGCGCGCGCACGCATCTGTCCACACTCACACCCACACATACAGGGCACTTCTTCTGTCACAGCCATCCCACAAAGACCAGGAAATAATCTTGAGTTTATTCCTACTAAAAAAAAACAAAACCAAGAGAACATCCTCAACTCAGAGTGGCAGAACGTAATGTCTTCTTGCACCCAGCCAATGCGCCACGTTACACGGAGGAGGAATAATAAATACGGGGGCGTGGAAAGTGAGAAACACCCAGAGGGGCTTAAGTGAAAGACGCTAAACTAACGGTTTGCCCCCCCACACACACAAGCTTAAGTTTTGCTTCCATGCACTTTTGTTTTATATAAACATGCATACAATCTTCCAAACGTAGGGACTAGAGACTTGGCTCTCCAGCTTTTGAGGCAGAAAGGGCTGCCACATCGCCTCGCCATTACCAAATAACTTATTAACGAGTGGGCGGGTTGAACCCTGGAGTGCTACAGAGCTGGCTGGTTCCAAAGTGGAGAAGTGCAGATAAAAACAGTGTCTGGCGGTTTAAAACTCGCATCCCCCCCCCCTGTGGAGTCCATGGGCACCATAAGGCCTTGCAGGGGGGTGGGGGGGAAGGCTTTTTTTTTTTTTTTTGCTTCTGGCCTTCAAGCCAAAACTTGGAAGCAGGACTGGAAGGCCCAGGTTACAGCTGGCCGAGTGCCCCGTTCGGCTAATTCTGAACGAGCCGGGCTTTGCAAGCCCACCGGGGCAGGTGGGTGCTTCTTTCTCACTGGGAAGTTGCCACTTCTGGTGGGTCACCGAGGAAGGCAGGACTGGGACGCCCTTCTCCTGCCACTGGCCCTTCCCACCCTCATTTCCCAAAGGGGCATCAGGTGCAGAAGGACCCATCGTGTGAACGGAACGGCAAAAGTCACGGGAAGAAACTTTTGTTTCGCCAGCTGAAAATTCATTGCAGCGTCCCGGACGAAGCAGTTTTGGCACAGCAGCTCCGTCTCGGCTCTTGGGAGCCCCTAACAGCCTTGGGGGGGGAGGGGGGCACGAAGCATGTTTTCACCGCAAAGTGCCCTCCAAGATGGGGGTGTTTTCTATAGGAGGGTCTGTACAGAGAGTGCAAAGATGTTTGGAAAGCAGGGTCCCTGGGTTGACTCCAGCTCCTGCTGCTTCCCCTGGCGTTCTCCATGGGGACGGTGGGTCAGTGGTCTTGGCCTCTGGAAGCAAAGGGAGCAGCCAGGAGAGAACCAGAGGGGCAGCTGGACCTCTGGGACCTGGCCTCGCCGTCTTGGCCCAAGGGAGTCCTCCATCAAAGGGGTTTGCCCCCATTTCTAGGGTTTGGTGGGGCGGCAGCAAGCAGCTGGCGTGCCCGCCTCTTCCTTGCCCCAGCCAGTGTTCAAACGGTTTCCGCTCGGCCCCAGTTGGAGGCATCCAGTCCCATCCCACCGTTGCACAGGAGCAGGTATCCCACGTGGACGATGCAGGGTCTACGTACCTGGAAAGGGAATGCAGAGCTGGTCAAGATGCCAGGCCCCCCAAAGAGCTCTCGGGATTGCAGAGACCCCATCCCACCCCTTCCTGGTCTGGGCAGGGAATGCCAGGAGCGGTCCACGCCGTGTGCAGCTGAAACACCTGAGGTCCACCTCTTAAATCCCCAGTCTCTGCAGCTGAAACACACTTTTCGTCTGAATTACACGATGGGAAACCCAGGTTTCAGTGCTGCAAATATTCTCGGCCCAGTTTGAGCAACGGAGGTCCGGATGCTTCAAGATCAAAGACTACTCAACCTGGCCAAAATATCTGGAAGAGTCACCTCAAATAATCCACTCGGGCCACGCTCTGAAAAAGAAAGACTTAGGAATGTCGGGAGAGTTTTTTTAGCTTGGGAAGGAAGTGTCTGTGGGGGGGGATAGAAACACAGAGAAGAGGCTTATAAAACTATTGGGTGGGGGGAGAGAGAAATTTTGGTGGGAAATTCGGGACCAAGGAAACCATTTATGGTTAGTCTGTAAAAGTTCCGCAAGGCAAGGGGGATGATTGCAAACTGGAACAGCTTCAAAATTAGCCTCTTTAAATATATTCTGGGGTCAGGGGTTATATCAGGGGTAGGCAACCTTGGCTCTTTTATGATTCGTGGACTTCAACTCCCAGAATTCCTGAGCCAGCCATGCTGAGGGGAAAGGGAGAGGTTTCCAAGCTGAGTCATGCTGGCTCAGGAATTCTGGGAGTTGAAGTCCACGAGTCATAAAAGAGCCAAGGTTGACTACCCCTGGGTTATAAGGTTCTGAGCCCAGGGGCTGTGGAATATTGGTTGCAAAGGTGGGGGAGAGAATGATGGATTGGGTGGGCTTTCTAACACCCATCTAGGAAGACTGGACAGCCACCTGTCTGAAAACAGTATAGGGTCTCGTGCTTGAGAAGGAGCTTGGACTAGAAGACCTCCAAGGTCCCTTCCAGCTCGATTATGCTGAGACCATAAAACGCTAGTGAGAGTCGGGCACTATGAGTTTATCCATCTTGCAATTCCTTGATTTTCTGACTCCAGATCCTTAAAGCTGGAACAAAGCTTCTCAAGGCAGAAGGCAGCCAAGCAGAACAGTCCATCGTCCAGAGACAGAACCGTCAACCTCCCCAGGTTCAGAAGCCTGCAGGTGCCTCAGAGGTCTTGCGACAGGCGGACTTGTGGCCTGACCCGCGAGGGCAAAACGAGAGTGTCCTGGGTCTCGGGACACAGGCCGATGGGCTTCGAAGTCCTAGTGCTGCCACCAGGCTCGGCACCCACAAAGGAAGGAAAGGGTGTGTAGAAAACGGACAACAGACCCACAGCTAGCTGAAGGCATGCACTGGGGGGGGGGTGCTCAGAGCGAGAAGAGGAAGCAGCGTGCGTCCCAAGAGAGCAGCCGACGTACCCTCGAAAAGAGCAGCAAGTGCCGGTACAGAGGTACCACAAGCGGGTATTCACAGAGCCGGGATGCCACGGTGCCACTTTGCTGAAAAGAGAAAGCAGAGGTCAACGTCAGCAGGGCGCAGCGTCCACCGACGGGCAGCAAAGGGGTGGCCACCTGTATTCCTTGCACAATCCTGTAGCACCCACAGAACATTCACAAAGCCAAGTTCCTAGTCCTCTTGAAAAGAAACCCCCTCGCTGCCATTTTCTCCGGCTCTTAAACCTAGCTGGCGGCTCTTTAAAAGAGACAAAATGTTCAATTGGGGGGAAGGAAGGTATCAGAGTCCAGGAAAAGAGGTGCGACCCCCTCCCCCCTAAAATCCCAGCAAAGCGAGCCCAAACGGGTCTCCTTCCCCACGCCTTCGGCTGGAGAAAGTCCCTTCCCCCTAAATCCCCCTTTTTTTCCTCCCCCACAGAGTCTTACATGAGCTGGCCGTTCCACGCAGTGGAAGACAGGCTGGGTGAGGTTGGGGGGCCAGGATGGGCTGCAGCCTAAAGCAGCTGGAAGGAAAAGAAAAATGTGGGGCCGGGGGGCCTCTAGGCAGGGGGCTGGGACACACATCCACGCTCAAAAGCATGGGGCACGCAAGCGGCTGCCTCGGGCGGAAATCACTGCACTCCCAAGAGCAAAGCCTCATGCGTTGCATGCTAGGGGTCTTCTTCGCGTTGCTGAGTGGATTTTCTCCCATTTTATAACCTTTCTGCCACAGTTGTTAAGCAAATCACTGCAGTTGTTAAGTGAATCTTTCAGTTGTTAAGTGAATCTGGCTTCCCCTGTTTATTTTGCTTGTCGGAAGCCAGCTGGGAAGGTCGCAAGCGGTCACATGACCCTGGGATAGTGCAACCGTCACAAGTGCATGCCAGTGGCCAAGCATTTTAATTTGATCACGTGACCAGAGGGATGCTGCAACGGTCATCAGTGGGACATAAGTCTCTCTTTTCAGTGCTGCTGGTAACTTCAAACAGTCACTAAACTAATGGTTGTAAGTTGAGGGCAACTTGTACTTCTGGGGGGTACCCCAAGTCGCCCCGGGGAGCAAGTAAGGCCAGAGCTGGTCAGGATGGGGAAGAGTCTACAGGAGAAAGACAGGACTTGCCCTCCTCATGTGCTGCTTTCATGGCTGCCATCTGGTCCTTCAAGTGTTTGATCTGAGCTTCCAGTTCCACATTTCGGCTCTCGGCGTCCTTTAGCTGGCTGGGTGGGGAGGCAGGAGGGGGAAAAAACAGAGGGTCAACAGAAAGTCGGGGACTTTTGGAGGGTCAGTCATGCTGGCTGGGGAATTCTGTGAGTTGAAGTCCACAAGTCTTCAAATTGCCAAGGTTGGACATCACAGGATCAAACGGTCTGGTCTTTTGTGGACTTCTAAGCCTCCTTGCTCACCTGGAGGAGATGGTGACGATCCAGAGGGGACATCTAACCAGGGACATCTCCTAGATCCCTCCCTGATGCCTCCCCCTAAGGGGTTGCCCACCAGGGATGATTCAAAAGTCAAGGCAATGGCCAGGCATGATCAAAGCTTGACTTTTTTGGACCACAGAGCCCCCCCCCACACACACATACATGCCTCTACAACTCACCTGGCAAAAGTCTGGTTGGCCACCTTGATCACACTGAGCTCTTGACACAGCATCTCCCGGCTTTTCAGTTCCTCCTCGAAGGCTGCCTGCAGTTCGAGAAACATGGACTGGTCCAGCTTCTGCCCATCGGGCAGTTTACATGCCTAGCAGGAAACACAAAGAGCGGTTGTGTTAACACCGAATTGAGCATCGCGTTGTCTTCATGGCCTTCACCGCATCTCCAGATGATGCTAATAAAATCCAGCACCGCGTTTAAGCGTTAGGCAATGTTCGTCATAAGGATGAACCAGTTGTTCAGCATCTGGATTTTTTTTAATCACACGATCATGGGGATGCTGGAAAGGTCGTAACTATGAATGCGCTTCTAAGTCACTTTTTCCAGTTGTAACTCTGAAGGGTCATTAAACAAACTGTTGAGGACTAGCTTGTCTGAAATGGTGTATTTGTCCAACATGGTGTAGGGTTTCCTGCCTGAGCAGGGGGTTGGACTCGACCTCCAAGGTCCCTTCCAACTTTATTATTATTATTATTATTAGCTATATTACAGTCTCTTGTTTTCCCAGTATCCCGAATGCTTGTGTACTGGAGGCAAATTCCTTGTGTGTGTAACCACGCTTGGCCAAATAAATAAAGCGCAAGCATACATATCCACAGAGGTATATAAAAATAAATAACAAACACACAATTGCCACAGAGACAAGATAGAGAATTCCCTTTTTTCTACCCACCAGCTCCTCTGAAGGCGTTTCCTGCGCTTCGCCTGAGGGCATCTTCCCAGCAGCCTCCACCTCCATGGCGATGGGACCTCGGTCGCGTCCCTCGGGATGATTCTGTCTGAGAGGAAGGGAGAGTCTCACAGACCTTGTCTCGCCAGCCACGGCATCTGCACAAGTAGCCCTCGACTTGTAACCGTCCCTTTAGTGACCGTTCAGAGTTATAACAGGGACAAAAGCATTTTTCACACGATCGTTGCAGCCTCCCTGCGGTTACCTGATCAACACTCGGACGCTGGGCGACTGGCTCAAATTTATGAAGGCTGCCCTGTCCTGGTAGGGATCATGTGATCCCGTTTTGTGACCCTCTGACCAGCAAAGTTAATGGGGGAAGCCAGATCTGCTTAACGACCGTGTGACTAACTTAACAGCTGCAGGGGTTCACAGAACAATCAGCAAGGGAAGTCGAAAACTGGGCCAAATGCACTTAACATCTGTCTCACTTAGCAATAGAAATTTTGGGCTCAATTGTGGCCGTAAGTCGAGGACTATCTGCATCTCCAGTTGCTCCTCTTTGACCCCCCCCCCACGGCTGGGTATATCTATTTGTGGAGAACAGGCCCATGGCTGCTCGTCACACTACCTACCTCTGGGAGGGTAACCACTCCTAAGAAAACAATTGTCACAAAACCTCTAGGGGGAAAAAATAAAAAATCAGAGTTAAAATACCCATAATGCAATCGCAGGGGGTCTGTATGACAGAGCCCCCACCACCACCACCCATATTGGGCTTGTTTAAGCTCCTGGCCCAGCTCCGGGGGCCAAAACCAGGGCTTCATGACCTTCGGAATGACCTTCCCTGGAAAGCAGATGGAGGCGACGACTTGCCCCCCCCCCAATGCCATAAAGCTGGGGAATTCTGGGAGTTGAAGTCCACCCGTCTTAGCGTTGCTGAGGTTGAGATACTCTGCCCTAGAAGCACCTGGAAGGGTCAGTTCTGCAGGTGAAGTACCTGCCTGGGACAATCTTTGGAGCCAACACTATCGTGGAAAGAAACCCTGAGGTTGCGAGCTCCAGCCTAGCCATAACGCAAACTTACACAACTCTCCCAAAAGTAGAAAAGTGCACCAAAAATGCTTCTTACTTCACAGCCGTGTAAGTGTAGGAGTACCCCACAAAGGGAAGCTGCACTCCGAGGGGAGAGGCCTCGAGGACGTCCGACAGGGTCTCCTGGAAAAGAGAGGGAGACGGAAGCAAAGAAATGGAGGGACGTTTCCAGGCAGAGCTGAGCCTTTAGCAAAGAGCCAGGACTAAAGGCAGCACCCCTGATATAAGAGGTTGGGGTCTTTTTTGGGGGGGGGAGAGGATTTTTCTGGATATCAAACTGTTGAAACCATCCTGCTTGCTTAATTTTTTTTTCTTCATTTTTTTTTAAATTGGACAGCCCTTTGTCTGAAATGGTGTAGGTCCTAGGACAGGGGTAGGCCACCTTGGCTCTTTTATGACTCGTGGACTTCAACTCCCAGAATTCCTGAGCCAGCATGGAAACCTCTCCCTTTCCCCTCAGCATGGCTGACTCAGGAATTCTGGGAGTTGGAAGCCCACAAGTCATAAAAGAGCCGAGGTTGCCTACCCCTGTCCTAGGAGAAGGGTGTCCAACTTTGGAACTTCAAGACTTGTGACTCAACTCCCAGAATTCCCCAGCCAGCATGCTGGGAGTTGAAGCCCACAAGTCTTACATAAGTTGGGCACCCCTGGTCTAGGGTCTCCTGCTCGAGCAGGGCTCCCTTTCCACGTCTGTTACAGGTAGTCCTCAACTCAGGACCACAATTCAGCCCCAAATTTCTGTGGCTCAGTGAGACCGTCGTTAAGTGAACTTCATGACCTTCCTTGTCGTGGTTGTTAAGTGAAACACTGCAGTTGTTAAGCAAGTAACACGGTTGTTAAGTGACTCTGGCTTCCCCATTGACCTTGTTAGTCAGAAGGGGATCCTGGGACCCTGGGACACTGTAACTGTCATAAATATGAGTCAGTTGTCAACTGTCTGAATTTTGATCACATGACCATGGGGATGCGGCAATGGTTGCGTGGAAAATGGTCATAAGTCCCTTTTTGCAGTGCTGTTGTAATTTTGAAGGTCACTAAATGAACTCTTGTAAGTTCATCTCGGACTCAGCCCAGTCAGGAACCAATAGGGCAGCACGAAGCGGACTGGCCCTGGGTGTAGCGGAGAGGAGAGGGGAGAAAAATAAGAGGTCACCTACCCCTCCCCCGCTCACCATGTCGGTGAGGCAGTCGTCCACCACGTCGAAGTTGCACGTGTCGGTGGCGTTGGCGAACTCGGGCACAAAGGACGGGGCGCAGTCCCGCAGGCCCTGCCAATCGATGCCAACGAAGAAGGGGTGCTCCTTGAAGTCCTGGACTCCGTTACGTCCCAGGCGTGTCTCCCGGGAACAGATCAGCCCTTCGATCAAGGCCTGGGCTTCCGGGGGGATCTCTGGGTCCGAGAGGGGAAACCGGAAATGCTCCTTGGAGAATGAGCATTGGGACAAAGGAGGAAGCAACAAGTAAGTGAAAGCAGGACCGGGTCTGGGGTATGCACTGATGATGTCACCTAGTTTGGTGATGAGATGTCTGCAAGAAATGCAGCCAGCTCAGACAGCACCAAGAATCCCACAGCCATCCTCCTCTTCCTCCTCTGCCACTCCACACACCCTACTCCCTCTAGCACTGATGATGTTTCCTAGTTGGGTCATGAAATGTCCACAAGAAAACTACCCAGCTCAGAGAGCAACATGGTCTCCACAGTCCTCCTCCTCCTCTCCGCATAGCCCCCTCCTTCCCTTCTAGCACTGATGAGGTTACCTAGCTGGGTCATGAAATGTCCGCAAGAAAACCACCCAGCTCAGAGAGCACCCAGGACCCCACAGCTCAACCCTGAGCAGTAGAACAGACTATCAGTAGAACAGACTATCATCATCAACTTCAATCTCAGTCCAGAAATGGGCCACCTTAACCCACCCCTCCCAACCCATCCGATTGCCCTCCGGCCACCAACCTTGAAGTGCAGGATCTTGCCATAGGTCTCCACGACGGAGTCGGCAAAGAAGGGGGTGTGGCCAAAGAACATCTCATAGGCAAAAATGCCCAGAGACCACCAGTCGCATTCTGTGCTGTAGGAATGAAGCCCATCTTCCACTGCTCGCAAGATCTCCGGGGAGAGGTAATCCGGGGTGCCCACTGCCACTGTGGAACAGACCTGCCACCGTGAGAATGGGGGTGAGAACCTCGGAACCAGAGTCCGATCTGCCCCATCCTATTTCTGACATGGCCCAGGTGGGGGGGTCTTTGGAAAGCCCACAAGTGGGGGACCGAGGTGGGATCCCCCTCAGCTGTCCCTGCCAGGCTGCCATGAAATATGGTAATCATGGTTTGTGTGTAGGTTTGATGGGAAATCAGAAAGCCCTTGGGATCAAAAGCACACTCCTTGACAATTGTTAAGCCATGGTGGTTATTTTCTTCATGAAGTCCACACTCCTAGAGTAGCCCACCCCACCCGGTTGGGTGTCTCACCGTCCCATCTTCTCGTAGCTTGAGACAGGATCCAAAATCCCCCAGCCGGATGTGCCCACATCGATCGAGCAGGATGTTGTCGGGTTTGATGTCCCTGTCAGGCGGAAAAGGAGAGGATTGGCAAAAGGATGGGCAGGAGGACCACAAAAGAACTCGGGAAACACTGGGACCACAAGGCAGCCCGACATTGACGTTGCTAAGCAAGATACTTGTTAAGTGAGAGTTTTGCCTCATTCTACGACCTTTCTTGCCACAGTCATTCAGTGAATCACTGCAGTTATTAAGCCAGTCACGCGGTTGTTAAGTGAATCTGGCTTCCCCATTGATTTTGCTTGCCAGAAGGTCACAAAAGGGGATCACGTGACCCTCTCGGGGACGCTGCAACCACTGGAAATATGAGGTAGTTGCCGAGCGTCCGAATTTTGATCACGTATCAGGATGCTGCAATGGTCATGTGACCATTGGTCATAAGTCACTTTTTTCAGTACTGGTGTAACTTTGAATGGTCACTAAATGAACTGTTGTAAGTTGAGGACTACCTGTATACACAAAGAAGGATGTTCTGAAGATTGTAAACATCTCATGGGTCGACCTCTGCCTCTTCAGAACCCCCCACCCCACCCCCACATCCCATGTACCTGTGCACGTAGCCCATGCTGTGGATGGAGTCAATGGCCATCACCATCTCGGCCAAGTAGAACTGGGCCATCTCCAGCGGGATGCGGTCACCAAATTTGCTCAGCAAGGTCAGGAGGTCACCCCCAACATAATAGTCCATCACCAGGTACTAGAGAAAGGTAGGAGACAAGCTCAGGAGAAGGGATGATTCTGATCTTGGGCAGGTTTATTGCCATCTCCATCATACTATAGACTCGACCCTAGTATATCATATATCTATATAAATAAAAATGTAAATGTTCGTTTGTTCAAAATCTTAAATCTCCAAAGGTTCTTCACCAATTGCTTTGAAATTTTGACACAACGTTGCATTCGAATATGCGCGTGTTTTTATATACCTATATTATATAGATGTCACACCTGTGACAGGTAAAAACATGCTTTTTTGAAAAACAGCGCCATCTGTTGGACATAAAAGCAACACACGCCAGACTGAGCCACAGCAACGCGTGGCTGGGTACAGCTAGTATATCATAAAACATAACAGCATAATGTAATGTAATATAACGTAACATAACATAGCAATCGCACTTAAGACTTCTACACCGCTTCACCGCGCTTTACAGCCCTCTCTAAGCGGTTTACAGAATCAGCCTCTTGCCCCCAACAATCTGGGTCCTCATTTTACCGACCTGGGAAGGACGGAAGGCTGAGTCAACCTTGAGTGGTTGAAAATCGAACTGCACTCAGCAGAAGTCGCCTGCAGTGCTGCATTCCAACCACTGTGCCACCACGGCTCATATAACACGAAACATATTAAAATATTTTAAACTCCTATACCCTCCATCTCCTCTAGAAGGCGACTCAAGAGGTCTAAATAAATCAAAGTCAGCCACATGCACATACATGTGAAATAAATTTCACCCCCCTCGGCTGCACCAAAGAGCGGGACTCACCAGGTAATTCTCATCCTGGAAGGCAAAATGCAACTGCGTGATCCAGCGCTTGTTTCCGTTCACCAGGACGTCCCTCTCCTCTCTGTAGCAGGAAACCTGGAGAAGAGTTGGGATTTCAAAGAGAAGGACATCCTTAGCCGAACCTTCTGTTTCGTACAGTGACGGGCACCAGCGGAGGACGCTCTATCTACACACTTCTCTAGTTGGTCTCAGGCCACATCCTCTCAAACAAAACTTCCCTGCCATCAGCGTGGGAAATACAGGCTGTCCTCGACTTGTAAGCATTTGTTTAGTGACCATCTGAAGTTACAATGTCACTGAAAAAAAGGGACCGATTTTCACACTTACGACCGTCGCAGCATCCCCATGGTCACGTGATCAGAATTTGGGCACGTGGCCACTGGGATGTATTTACGACAGTTGCAGTGTCCCTTTGGGGTCACGTGATCCCCTTCTGTGACCTTCTGACCAGTAACGTCAGGGGAGGGGAAGCCAGATTCACTTAATGATTGCCCGATTTACTTAACGACTGCAATGATTTGCTTAACAACCGTGGCAAAAAAAAGGTAGGAAAAATCGGGCACATCTTGATTAGCCCTGGAAATCCCGGTCTGAATTGTGGTTGTGGGAACCTACAGTCTTTTCTTCGGGAAAAGTTGGACAGCAAACAGCATGTCTTCAGAAAATCTGCACTGAAAAAAAATTCAAGGCACTTTTTCTTGGATTCTTGAGCAGCGAAATGTTAAAGGAATCTGGCCAGAGGGATTGCAAAATCCGGCCGGAGGGATTGCAAAATTATGCAAAATTGGACCTGGCTGGGCACCGATGGAAATGGAAACCCTGAGGAGGTAGCCACGATGGCTTGGCAGATGTTCTGCCTCTACTCTTACCTCTCCCCGTTTCAACATGTCCCATTTATTCATTATTTTCATGGCATACACCTGAGAGGTCCTCTTCTGCTTCACCACTGCCACCTGCACAGGTAAAACAGTCAAGAGAGACACATGCAAGATAAAACTAACAAAGCTCCTATTGTTACAGTAGCTGCCACCTTATGCTCGCTTGTGCTTCGCTGCTGTGCTGTTACAGACTGCCATGAACTGTGGGGGGGAGGCGAAATGAAAGGGGGGGAATGTTTGGGAAAATGAAAGTAAGTGCTGCGTCTCCTGGAGAAGCTGCCTCAAGGTCACCCAGCTAGAAGCAGGAGGGAACTGCATGCCAAACTACACTGGGAATGTCCGTTAAGAAAACGTCTTGCCTGAACCTGATTGGTGACACCGGGGTGGGCAATGAGAAATAGTTACGGGTGGGGGGAGTAGAAGTTAGGGATTTTGGCTTGTGATTCTCAGTTTTGGCTTTGCAATACTGCAGTATACTTGCTGTCTAATAAAACAATACCTTTCTGAACAAATGGAGCCAAAGATTGTTTCTGTTTAGAGCAGTGTTTCTCAACCTTGGCGAGTTTAAGATGTGTGGACTTCAAGTCCCAGAATTCCTCAGCCAACATTGCTGGCTGGGGAATTCTGGGAGTTGAGGTCCACAAATTCTAAAGTCACCAAGGTTGAGAAACACTGGTTTAGAGGTTTAGGTTATTCCAGGTCTGGCACCTGTATTAGCTTATGCCTCAGAAGGCTGACATCAATCTTGCCGGTCTGAATGTGTGTCTCCCCTCCTTCCCTTTCGTCAAGACTGAGACGCTTTCTCAGATTGCCTTTCTGCCCTGGGACTCAGATTTCTTTTATCTGAATCTTGTCTTGGTAACCAGATCTTCCTCCACTTCCTCAAAGTTATTCCCACAGCCCATTATGATGTACTAGCTGCGTCCTTCCAAACCTCCTCCCAATCACCCCAGAGTTGTCTAAAAACTTTGGAGTAATTTCCTGAAATAGAGGGACAGTTTCATTTCATACTGCTCTGCCCACCTGAGATTCCTTAGTCATTGCTGGCCACTTCTGCTAGGACAGAGGATCCCACAAATGCTGGGTTTTACCAGCAAGGACATCCCTTTGGGGGTCCCTACAGCTACCCTCCAGGGTGGCCCGTCTTCCTTCCTCACCTCGCTGAAAGCTCCTCGGCCGATCACTTTTAGGATCTCAAAGTCATCTCGTTGCAGCCGGAGCTGTTTCAGTCTGGAGGTTAGTGGATCCGCTGGAGAGAAGGAAAAGGAGATTATTGGGGTTCCTCGTATAATGCCCACTTGGGGGAGCCCTGAACTGGAGCAGTTAAAGGAGGAGATGTGAGACACCATCTCGGCATGTTCTGGACCTGCCTTAGGGCATGAAAAGCCAGCTGGGTGACTTTGGGCCAATCACCAGGAGACGGTGAGTTCTAGTCCAGCCTTAGGCATGAATGTCAACTGGCTGATGGTGGTCTGATCACTTAATATTCTTAAGTGAATCACTGCAGCTGTTAAGTGAGTAACACGGTTGTTCAGTGAATCTGGCTTCCCCCTTGGCTTGTCAGAAAGTCACAGAAGGGGATCACATGTGGTTGGGACACGGCAACCGTCATAAATACAAGTCAGTTTCCAAGTGTCCGAATTTTGATCAAGTGATCAATTCTGCAACGGTTACAAGTGTGTAAAAAAGGTCACAAGTCACTTTTTTTCGGTGCTGTTGTTGTGACTGTGAATGATCACCAAACAAACTATTGTAAGTTGAGTACAACCTGCCCTCTGTGTGAGATGACCATTTGAGCTCAGCGAAAAGGCAGGAGGGAGTCACTCAACGGTGAAATACATTTAGTGTCATATACATTTGATCAGTCAATCAATAAGCCCCTTTTCCCCTTGTTTGTGACAGCCAGCCCCTTTAATCCCCCCTGCCCCTCCTGGTCCTGCCCAAACTCTTGTGTCCACAAATATTAGTAACCAGGGAGAGGATCGGCATCCCACCACGACCATCCTGGATCTGTGACTCAGCTGGGCGCCAAGTTCTGCCTTCTGCCCGCAGGCCTTAAAAATAAATGCGTGGGTGCCAACTTGAGTGGCGGGGGGGAATCCACGTGACCTGCAACCAGGAAGAGGTCAGATGGCCCTCAAATTTAACCTCCCCGGGTGACTCAGCTGCCGGCCTGCCCAGATCTCCAGATTTGGCAGCGGAGAAGGAGGATAACGTCTTCAAGGATCTCAAACAACTTCCTCACATGGCGACCCAAGGATCAAGCGAAGAGATCTGGAGGGGGGAGGCAGGGAGGGTTGGCAGGAGAACAGCTCAGCCTGCTGGCAAAGGAGAGGCGTAAAAATAGCTGCAGGATGTGATGGAGGCAGCTGGAATGGGACGCCTTCGGGGAGGGGAACTGGAGCGCCCAGAGGCCACGCAGACAGCAGGAGACGGGTGGAGGAGGAAAGGTCCCCGACTGGCACCTTGGAGGGGAAGAAGTGATCAGGCTCATCGTCCCCGGCCAGCACCTTGGGGAAAGGTCTTCAAAGACTGAAGGGCCTGAGGCAGTCTGACAGAGCTGCTGTACCTCCACCCCCACCCCCCACCCCTGCTCTGGCTGAATCTGAAGCTGGGGTGGCTTTGAAGCCATTGTGGCAACTCACAAGGAAGTCCTGGGTGGCACTGGGGTCCCCACCAGCAGCAATGCCACAGGGCAGCGAAGTTGTGTTGGCTATTTGCTGAATGCTGGGCCCTCAAGAAAGGAAAGGAAAGGAAAGGGAAGGGAAGAGAAGGGATGGGAAGGGAAGGGAAGGGAAGGAAAGGAAAGGAAAGGAAAGGAGGATGGAGGGAAGGTAAGGTGGGAGGGAGGGAAGGAAGGGAGGGAGATGGAGGGAGGGAGAAAGGGAGGAAGGGAGGGAGGGAGGGAGGAAGGAAGGAAGGAAGGAAGGAAGGAAGGAACGAAGGAACGAAGGAAGGAAGGGGAACAGGAACAGAGGGAGGGAGAGAGTGTTTCTGTGTTTTTATATACCACTCAGAATTTGGTGATACAGGTGTATAAAGATACATGTTCTTAATAAATGAATAAATTCTTCCAGACCGAAAACCACCTCATTTCAGGCAACTCATATATTTAAAAAAAAAAAAAAAAGGAGAGGCATTAAAAATGAAGGGACAAATTTGGACAGAAAGTCTGCAACGGCCCAACATGGAGCCCCCGTCCCCTCCTTCCCCAAGAATCTCATGACAGCAGCTGAGACCTGGAGGCAGACCTGCCCAGAAGCCCCTTCCGGCTTCCTTCTCCAGGGGAAGAGAGAGAGAAAAAAAGGCTGGCAGGAGCTGATGCTTGGCACCGACCAAGAAAGGACAGAAATAGGACCAAATTCCAAGGGCAGAAGGGAAACAAGCAGGGTTGTTTTTTTTCCGTTCTCATATTTCTTAAATTTCTGACAGAGTCACATTGAGCAATTGGATGCAATTTTCAGGAAGAATTTATGCAATGAGCCGTCTAATAAATAAACAGCTTTTGTAACGGCACTTGAGAACAAATCCTGTTGCTTAGCAAGATTCATTTGGGGTCAGCCTAAGTAGCAGTAAGGACCAAGCACTTAAAAAGAGTTATTTGCAAAATTCTGAAAATGCAGAGTAACCCAGCTTCCCTGGTGCTTCTCAGATTGGCTTTGCGAATCCCACCTATCTGTCTGTCTTATCCATCCATCCATCCATCCATCCATCCATCCATCCATCCATCCATCCATCCATCCATCTATCTATCTATCTATCTATCTATCTATCTATATCATCTATCATATCTACATGCCATCCATCCATCCCATGTTCATTTATTCATCTATCCACTCACCATCCATATATATCTCTATATCTATCCATTTATCAACTATTATCTCATCCATCCATCCATCCATCATCTCTCTCTCATCTATCTATATCTATCTATTTATCAACAATTATCTCATCCATCCATCCATCCTCTCTCTCTCTCATCTATCTATTCATCCATCCATCCTTCCACCCATCTCTCTCTCTCTCTCTCTCTCTCTCTCTCTCTCTCTCTCTCTTATTTATCTATATCTATCTATCGGTCTGCCCGACTGCAGTTATCCGTCGCCGCCAAAGGCGCTCAGTTCCTGCAACAAACACAGGCCATAAGATATTTTGGGATCCTGGAGACCTGGGATTATTTTTGGCCTCTTCCAACTGATACACAACCCTCTAGCCAAGAGCAGGGAAGGGGGGCAGCCTCCCTCCCCAGCCCAGCCAAATGGCTTGCCAGACACAGGGAAAAAAGCTGCTCCGTTGGGTGCCTATTTCGGGCACCGGCTGGGTTGGGAATCTGGGCTTGCAACAATTCTCAGATTCCAGCTGGGCCCTGGGAGACTGTGCTCATAGCTGGGGGGGTGGGTGGAAGGGGTGAGGGAGGGGGGCGTGGAGCATTCCTGCCCATGGAAACTTTTATGCTGTACACAAACTGTCAAAAGTCCAAAGATGCAGCTTTTCATCCAGATTCGGCAGGGTTCAGTCTCTGAAAAAGTGATTCTTAGAGCAAAGAAAGGGCTTCAGAGCATGTGCAGAGTGCCTCTCACCATGGTGCAGCTAGTCCCCAGATGAGGCCCGAAGCTGAGGGTGAAATTCTACACGTACAGATGGTCCTCGACTTACCACCCCAATTGAGCCCAACGTTTCTGTGGTTAAGTGAGACATTCCTTAAAGTGAATTTTACCCTGTTTTGCGACCTTTCTCGCCGCCGTTGTTAAGCAAATCGCTGCGGTTGTTAAGTGAGTCACACAGTGGGTTAAGTGAATCTGGCTTCCTCAAGGTCGCAAAAGGGGATCGTGTGACTGTCCGGGACGCTGCGACCGTCATAAATGCGAGTCAGTTTCCGAACATCTGAATTTTGATCACGTGACCGTGCGGTTGCTGCAACGGGCATAAGTCGTTTTTTTTTTCCAATCCAGTTGTAACTTTGGTCGCTTAATGAATTGTTGTAAGTCGAGGACTGTCCTCATTTCCCTTTAAGATGGAGGACATCTGAAGCTAATTCTGTTCATCTGAATATTCCAACAGCTCACAGCCAAATCCGGGCACTCTCCTGCCCTTCACAACATTGCTTGGAAAATCTCCCCCTGCCCCGCTTCCCCCCATCCGCCAGCAGCCCTGCCCCATTCCCTGCCAGCCCACAGGCTCCTTTTGCAAGGAAAAGCAAGAAAAATGAGCAATTTCTTCCCAGGGGGGGAATAAAGAGCCCCGTGGAGCAACGGAGAAGAGAGCGAGAAGGCAAAGAGCGGAGAAGAGGCCCAGTCTGTCCTACGCAGGCGGCCTTTTATGGCATTTTCCAAAGTCCCAGCAGCCTAGAAACTTCTCACTGGAGTCCAGGAAGCTCCAGGCTCTGCTCTAGCAGGCAAATCTTCCAGCTCATGCCTCGCCCGGCATTAGGGAACTATAAAAATCAAAGCTGTCTTGGTCTACATCAGAGATGTCCAACTTTGGCAACTTGAAGACCTGTGGACTCCGACTCCCAGAATTCCACAGCCAGCTGTGCTGGCTGTGGAATTCTGGGAGTCGGAGTCCACAGGTCTTCAAGTTGCCAAGGTTGGACACCCCGGTCTACACCAAGGCCGAAACAAGCAAGTTCTGTTAATTCCTAGATCTTCAATCAATCAGAATAGAGTTGGAAGAGACCTTGGAGGTCATCTAGTCCAACCCCCTGCTCAGGCAGGAAAGCCCTGTACCATTTCAGACAAGTGACTGTATAGTCTCTTCTTAAAAACTTCCCAGTGTTGGAGCATTCACAGCTTCTGGAGGCAGGTTGTTCCACTGATTGATTGTCCTCACGGTCAGGAAGTTTCTCCTTGGTTCCAGGTTGCTTCTCTCCTTGGTTCGTTTTCCATCCGTTGCTTCTTCTCCTGCCTTCTGGGGCTTTGGAAAAATAAGTTGACCCCCTCCTCTTCTTTGTGGCAGCCTCTCAAATACTGGAATACGGCTATCATGTCCCCCCCCCCCGCTCCCAGCCCTTCTTTTCTCTAGACTGGCCATACCCAAATCCTGCAACTGTTCTTTGTATGTTTCAGTCCCCAGGTCTTTAATCATCTTAGTTGCTCTTACAAAAAAAAAAACTCAGGAGTAGACCACAAAGAATCATGGACTTCTAGGGCTGGAAGGGATCTTGGAGATCTCCCAGTCTAATCTCCTGCCCAAAGCAGGAGTCAGTCCTTATTCGAGAATCCAGGCAGTTGTGTCGGTTCAATCCACCCTTCCTCTAAGGAGACTATGCTTAAAAGATGAGAGAGAAACAAGGATGTGTGAAGGGATTCAAAGTTTGGTCCAGCCTCCAGCCGTAGGGAAATAAGGAAGTGCCAGTTCAAAAGTAAATTCAACCCTAAAGCCACAAATCCAGGCTTCCAGGTTCCCGGATCTCAGTGATCAACACAACTCGTCAACTAAATGGCGACTTTCAAAGAACAGGTTAATTACATCCATTCCTCTCTATCACTTTAGTCTTAACTCTTCACATGGTTGGGAAGAAACTCTCTTTTCTTTTTTCTTTTAAAAAAGCATTTATTATGAAAAAAAAATGCATATAGTGGAATTCAAAGAAAGGGGAAAGAGAGGGGAAAAAACCAAGATGATCCTCAAAAAAGGCTTCAGGGTTAAGTTTTTTAAAAAAAGAATAACATGGTAAATAAAAAAAATTAAAAAGTAAATTGCATCTCTTAGTATCTTGAATGGCTAACAATCATTGCAGCACAAAGCAACGTCCTTCACGTTGATTCTGAGCAAAAGAGTCTATTGCTGCTGTCGGTTTGATTTCGGGGTTTCCAGTTTTGGGACAGGCATCTACCTGTAATTATTTCCAAGCAATCAGCTAAGCCGTTTTTGTCATCTGTGCGAGAGTCTTTCCTTTTGGGCGGGCCCAAGTAAAATATAAAACATGTAGATAATTTCCTCCTGTTTCAAATTGGTTGCTTTCCCAAATGTTCAGGTGTAGATGAAGAAAAAAAAACAACACCTCGACAGCTCTTGAAGAGAAACTTGTCCTTAACAACTAAAATCTCGGTCTCTGGAGAGCGTGGCGTTTCAACAAAGCTCACAATCCAGAAAAGATTTGCTCGGTAGTCTCCAGGCCTGAGTCACCCTGCCTGAAACAGGGACAGCCATAGGACCAAAAAGGATGCTGGGGACAACTTTCTCAGCTTGAAAACAAATTCCCAGAAGTATGACCCACAACCCACAATTAGTCATGGCCTAATTTATGAAAGGGTGGTAGATATTGGGAACGAATCTTTTTCCAAGTTTCAGAGCTCAGATTAACCGAAGTTCTATGATAAAATAGAATTGAGGGTATTTTGTTTGTTTGTTCGTTCAATTGGGGGGGCTTACTTTGTATTTATTTATATCCCAACTTTATTGTTTTTATAAATAACTCGAGGCATCCAATACACACAGCACTGCTTCCTCCCCCTGTTTTTCCCCACAACGACAACCCTGTGAGGTGGGTTGGGCTGAGAGGGAAGAGGAACTGGCCCAAAGTCACCCAGGCGGATTTCACGCATAAGGTGGAACTAGAACTCACCGTCTCCTGGTGATTCACTCACGGTAACCCAGCTGGCTTTCATGCCTAAGGAGGGACTAGAACTCATTGTCTCCTAGCGATTGGCCCAAAGTCGCCTCGCTGGCCTTCAGGTCTATGATGGGACTAGAATTCACCGTCTCCCAGTTCCTAGCTTGGTGCCTTCACTCCTAGACCAAACTAGCTATGCCACCCATCTCAGTTTGCAAGGCAACTCTGGGCAGCTGTGGCCAAACGCTACAAACTCCCTGGGAATCTGTAGTGCCCCCCTTCTCACTGGAGTAGCACATCAACCACCATAAACCAAGATCTCCCCAGCCCCCCATGACAGATACCAACAGGACTCACCCCACTGCAGGAAGTCCATGATGTATTTCTCCTGGGCCAGGGGTGAAGTGCTCAGCTCATGATGTACGCAGAGCAGGAGGTCCACCAGGGTCTCCAAGCCCACCACCCTGGGGTCAAGGACCAGCTCCTCCAGTTTCTTCAGTCGGACCTCTGCTGCCATGGGGCCAGCTCAGGTGGACGCTGGGGATGCTCCAGGTGGGCTCCCTCCAGACTGGGTGCGCTGTCCACGGGGGTCTCCGGCTGCAGCCTAGGGGGTCCAGCTGCAGCTGTGGGAAGGGGCTACGTCAAGTGGGCACCCTCTTGGCTGGTCATCTCCTTCCTGGGTGTCCGCACAAGTTCTTTAATCCACCGGCTTCTTGGGAGGGATGCTCACTGTCCCACAAAAGCAGGGCTGGACAACTTCTTTACAACTCTCTCTCTCACACTCCAAGAGATTTCTCTTTCCTGCACGCTCCGGAGGCAGCCTTAGCCCTTCCTCCCTTCCTGGTGCACACACAGGGTCTCTCCCCCACGCAGCCCCCAACGCTGGCTCTCCTGCCTGCCTGCCTGCCTGCCTGCCTTGTGATCACCCAGAGTGGAAGCGATGAGGCTCTTTTCCCTCCCGGAGCGCACAAACATACAAGACGGCAGCCTTTCCACGCCTTTCCCAGTGTCCCAAGTGCGCTGCCTTTCGAGCCAAAATAGGCTCCTTCTCCGGGTCTTGCACGCTCCCTTCCCACCCCGTCTGTCCGTCTGTCCGTCGCTGGCTGCCTGTGCTTGGCACACCCTGGGGCTGGCCTTCCCTGGCTAGTCTGCCCGAATTCCAGGTGCCCAAACCCTCTCCCCCCCAGGCCCCCTCTCTGGGGGAAAAAAGCACCAGCCCTCTTTCTGCCCCCCCCTCCTGGCTTCCCTCTCCGGCTCAGCCCCCCCCCGCAACAAGCCACACCCTGTCCTCCTGCTCCCTCCTGCCCAATCCAGCCTGGCTTGCCGTCCTGTGCCAAGGCCTGTGCAGGAGCAAACAGGCTAGGGTGCCCGTTCAAAGGTCTCAGGAATGGAGTCACAGGCCAAGAAGCTGGTCTTCTCCTTTTAACCCTTCCCTGCCTGGGGTCCATCCAGATTTCTGAGTCTTGCAGCTTCTGGCAGGGGGTTTAAAAAGCGCTCCAGCAAATCACAGTTATGCTGTCGACTTTGGGGGTCTGGAACACTGTTTGCTCCTGATGCGCTGTTCAGCTCTCTAATGAAGAGAAGGACTTGGGGTGATATAACCGTCTTCCAGTATTTGAGGGGCTGCCACAGAGAAGAGGAGGGTCAAGCTATTCTCCAGAACACCTGAAGGCAGGACAAGAAGCAACGGATGGAAACTGATCAAGGAGAGAAGCAACCTGGAACTAAGGAGAAATTCCCTGGCAGTGAGAACAATTAAATCAGTGAAACAGCTTCTCTCCAGAAGTTGTAAGTGCTCCAGTGCTGAAGGTTTTTAAGAAAAGACGGGACAACCATTTGTCTGAATTGGTATAAGGTCTCCTGCTTGAGCAGGGGATTGGACTAGAAGACCTCCAAGGTCCCTTCCAGCTCTATTCTGATTGATTGACACCACCTTAATTAATAAGCCAGTCCGGCTTACTCTTGCACCTACTAGGATCCTGAAGGACCAGCCTTCCAACAGATGACATGCAAACCCTTCCTTGCTGGGGTAACTCATTCACACATCAACGGTCTGACCTGATCCGACCAAGCCATTTTCTACCAATGACTTCCTCCTACCATGTGGGAAAAAATACACCTTGCCTTAGGGCTGGAGAAGTCGGCAAATAGGGTAGGGTTAGGGTTGAGAAAGACCGGAGTTTTCGTCTGCAATGGGGACAGACAAAACCCTTCAGTACAAACTCATAAATACCCATTTATGTGCACAAGAGCGATAAGGATGTAAACAGGGAAGAGGATCGGAGGGGTGGGATTCTCCCCCACCCATCCAGGCCGTGAGGACATTTGAGGGGGGGGTTACTTCTGCTTGAGGGAGTGCCCTTAACCCCCCCTCCCACTCCCTGCTGTGATGGGGTCAGGTGGCTGGAAGGCATCCCACCCCCCCTCACCCCCCCCTTGCAAGCTGTTTCTGGCCAGGCTCCACCAAGCTATGTTTAGCACAGCAACATTCCTGTAGCCTAAATGGAACCATGGAGCAGCCAGCATTTTTTTTGGGGGGGGGGGGAGCTGGCTGGGAATAGTTTGCAAGCGTTCTCAGCCTCCCCTTTTCATCCCCTGCCCCAATGAATGTTTGGGGCCGTAGATTAGAGACCTTCACACTGTTCCTTGACAGTAGAGACCCTCCAGGCTGTCTTCACAGGCAGCAAAAGCTAAATGGCAAAGTTTTCATAGTTGTTTTTCTCTTTGGTTTCATCAAGAGCAAAGTAAAGAGCTGGGGGGTTCCAAAACATCAAAATGGCTGCCATGTGATTAATTCCACTTATATGGATTGCGGGCTTTGATTGCACATTTGTGGTGGCACTTTAAGATGAGTGGACTTCAACTCCCAGAATTCCCCAGCCAGCATCTGGGAGTTAAAGTCCACCCATCTTAAAGTGGCCAGACTTCAGAAAACTCATCTTTAGATATATGAACTTTGCATCCAACATCAATAAATTATTAGTTTCTGATAGAGTCATAAAAAACATATTGTGGCCATCTAACTCTGCCTTATATATTGCACTTAAGAAACACTCCCCAAAAGTTATTTTTAATTTTCTAAGCATCTCCTGCTGTTTGGTTTCCTATACACTGAAACAAAGGAAATACTTAGTAATACTTTGTTATGCTATGTATCTTTTCAAATAACAAAACAGATTAGATATTCGAGGAGCTTTCATTTAGCGAAAAAATCATGAATCCGGGAGTGCACTTTCTTATTTTAGTTTATTAATAGATTGAATAAAATGTGATTTTATCAAAAGGCAGTTCACAAAACTTTCTACTAAAATTGGTTCGTTGGAAAAGGCGCTTCCGGATTTCTGATTTTAAAACAGATGCAGCCTTTCTGCCCATTTTTATCCCATGCCGGGATGTCCAACATACCACTGCAATTTCTTATCTGCAAACAGGACTTATTACCTACAGATATTAAGAAGTTTTGTCCCTGTTTTTCCCCGTTTCTAAGTAACCAGAATTCTCCATTAATCATTAACAAATGTGTGTGGTCAACAGCGACCCCTAGTGTTCAGTCTGGGAATGGCAGGTGATTCTAGAATTCTCTCTTCAAGTGGTTAGGGCCAACTTAATATAAATATAACAAGGGCAGATTTTCAAGTTTCTCATAAGTCTTCATCGAACTAGGCAATGAAAAATGTGTCTGTGGGAGGATTGAGATAGCATGGGGATGAGGGACAGTGGAAAAGATTTTGGTCAGAGCCAGGGCTTTTATCTCTTTAGAGCAGAGTTTTCCAACTTTGGCAATTTTGACGACTTCAGCTCCCAGAATTCCCAAGCCAGCTGGCCCTCAGAAGGGCCACAATATTTGAGCATTGTTGTAATTAACAGTTTAAAATGTGTTATTTGTGACATGTTGGTTTCTAAATGTGATGGATGGATGGATGGATGGATGGATGGATGGATGGATGGATGGATAGATAGATAGATAGATAGATAGATAGATAGATAGATAGATAGATAGATAGATAGATAGATAGATAGATAGATGATAGATAGATAGATAGATAGATAGATAGATAGATGATAGACAGACACAGTGAATAGATAGACTGAAAGAGTGGGTGAATAGATAGATATACATAGATACAGAAACAGAGACAGAGATGTGATAGATGAGAGAGAGAGAGAGAGAGAGAGAGAGAGAGAGAGAGAGCAATAAATAAATATTGACGTCTCCACTCACAGGGGCAGTGGGAGTTTCATACAAATTCATGCACTATTAGAGGCTCACAGTTCCACAACGTTAGTGCTTTTATGCCCTGATCAGGGGTTTTCTGGAAGCTCTAAAGTCCCCTCTCTTTACAATATTATTGTGTTATTGTATTGCAGAAATATTTATAACTTTGTTATCTCAATAGCCCTCAAGCAACCGCCATAAAAAAAAAGGAATGCAGAGAGCAGTAAAATTGTGATACAGGAAATTCGTGGCAGGCAGCTGTCCCTGACTACAGATGGCACCCATGTTGACAGCAGTTGGGCCCCTATCGAGTGGAGATGCCACCACCCAGAATGCCCTTACTGACCCTTCAGCACTTGCTGCCCCATGGATCCTGGCCAGAGCAGGCCACACAGGCTGTGAAGGAAAGATTGTGCTCCTGCAGCTTTGACCTACAATGGCTGCCTCTCCAAATGGCACCTGGAAGCAGGCAAGGAATTTACACCTGCTTTTCACAGCAACCTTCCCCAACTAAGTGCACAGTATGTGTTTGTGTTTGTGTGTGTGTGTGTGTGTGTGAGAGAGAGAGAGAGAGAGAGAGAGACTATCTAAGACAGGCGTGTTCAACCTTGGCCTCATTTAAGACTTGGGGATAAAGCCAGAAGGACAAAGCTGACTGGGGAATTTTGGGAGTTGAAAGCCACAAGTTGACAAGGTTGGACAGCGCTGGTGTAAGAGAAGTTGAACCAGGGCTAAACACCAACCAGGTCAGGGAGCATCTGACCACAGAGACACACAAGGGGGCAACAGACCCATGGCCTGGGAAACCAGACCCCAAATGGGGCACAAGGCCCCTTGATCAGTGGGCAGATGCTGAACAGGGCAGGGCAGTTTCTCCTTAGTCTCAAGCCTCTCCCCCGCCCCCAAACCCTGGCTGAACTTTATGCAATTTGAAATCCAGGATGGGGCAAACCCACATTCAGGTCCATCCTGGCTCTCTTCGAATCCCAGTGCTGGAAGGGACCTTGGAGGTCTTCTAGTCCACCCCATGCTCATGGTGGGAAAACCCTCATCCCATCCAGGACAAAAGCTTGTCCGATCTTTTCTTGGAAACCTCCAGCGATGGAACACCCCGTTTTGGAGTTCGGAGGGGGTCCCAGGGGCCCGACAAGTGCGGTCCAAGCGGGTTTCCCCGTCCTTGAGGGAGGGGACTGGGGGGGGGAGAGGGCAAAGCAACTTATCTTGGAAAGGACCCGTCTGGAGCTGCTTTGGAGCTTCGCGGGGCGCGGGATGGGGGGGGGGNGGCCGGACTCCCGCGCCCGAACATGGCCTCCTTCCCCGCCGAGCCCGCCGAGCCTCCCGGCCGCGGCCCACCCGCAACCCCGCCGGCCGTCCCGGGCAGCAGCAGCGGCGGAGCGGAGCCGCGCAAACTTTTGCCAACTTCGCCGCCCGCCCCGTCCCGCGCGGAGCCCGGCGCGCCTCCGGTTCCCGCAGCAGCGCCTTCTCCTCCTCCTCCTCCTGCGGCCGCCGGCCTGCCGCGCTTCTCGGCCGAGCAGGTCTCGTGCGTGTGCGAGGCGCTGCTGCAGGCAGGCGACCCGGGCCGGCTGGGCCGCTTCCTGGGCTCGCTGCCGGCCGAGGAGGCGGCGCGGCTGGAGGCGTCGGGCTCGGGCTCGGGCTCGGCGGGCGAGAGCCTGGCCAAGGCGCGGGCGCTGCTGGCCTTCGAGCAGGCCGACTTCGGCGAGCTGTACCGGCTGGTGCAGAGCCGGCCCTTTGGGGCGCCCCACCACCCCTTCCTGCAGGACCTCTACCTGCGGGCGCGCTACCGGGAGGCGGAGGCGGCGCGGGGCCGGGCGCTGGGCGCCGTCGACAAGTACCGGCTGCGCAAGAAGTTCCCGCTGCCGGCCACCATCTGGGACGGCGAGGAGACGGTCTACTGCTTCAAGCGCCGCTCCCGCGCCGCCCTGCGCGACTCCTACGGGCGCAGCCGCTACCCGAGCCCCGAGCAGAAGCGCCGCCTGGCCCGCGACACCGGCCTCTCGCTCACCCAGGTCAGCAACTGGTTCAAGAACCGGCGGCAGCGCGACCGAGGCGGCGGCGGCGGCGGCGGAGCGGCTGGAGGAGCCGCGGGAGGAGGAGGAGGAGGAGGCACGCCCAGCAAGAGGTGAGCGGGAGCCCTCTGGGCATGGGCAGAGCGCGCCCGCTCGGCGGCGGCGGCTGCTGGAAGGCCGCCTCTGCGCCTTGGGGTACGGCTAGGCAGGGATCGGGGTAGAGCCTCCAGGGGCCTGCGCAGGCTATCCGGGCCCCCTTGCGAACGTCTTGGATGCGGAGGGTTGCGAAGGGAGCGGGAGGTCGGTCCCCATAATCCCCGGAGAGGCTGGAGGTTCGAAGCCTGGACCGGTGCCCCCCAAAATGGGATGGGGCATGCAGCCCTAACAGGTTGGGTCTCCAACTCCTGCACGCCCGGAGCATAAACAGCCCCCCCCCAACTCTGCAAGCAAGCCCCAAAGCAGGATGAAACTGAACCCAGATCCTGAGTAGGTCTTCGGGCCATTTCGCCTGCTGCCCCCCAGCCATTTCTGCATTGGGAAGGGGGCACCCGTGGAATCTGGGGAATGCAATGGGGGGCTGTTTTGGCAAAATGGTTGTTGGGAGGACCCCACCCCCCCAAAATGGCCCCTGGGCTGCAACTTGGCCAGGTGCAAATTCCCAACCACCCCAGAGGCAGCCAGCCTTGTACAGATAGCTCCCGTCAGGCGCTCCCTCGCCACACATGCCAGCAGAGGAGACCCCCCCCCCCAGTCTGTCCACCAACCATTTCATTCCCCTGGGTTCCTGGAACCATTCTTGGGGTGCTGGAGACGAGTGTGTCAGCTGGCTTCCACTTCTTTGGAGTTATGAGAACTTTCTGAATGTGCAGGGGGAAAAAGCAGAGGAGGTGGGGGACCTACAGGGGGGGTGTAGAGACCCCGATGCCACCTTGGGGACTCCCGGATTAGCCTGTGGTACCAATAGAAGAGACTATTTGTAGCCCAGGATTGAAATGAGGGGTCCTTGGTGCCCCCCCTGAGCTTGGTGGTTTTCTTGCAGACATCTCATGACCCAACTAGGGAACGTCATCAGTGCTCAGTATCAGCAGTAGTAGCACCGATGACGTTGCCTAGTTGGGTCCTGAGATGTTTGCAAGGAAACCACCAAGCTCAGGGGGGCACCAAGGACCCCACGGTTTTCCTCCTCCTTTCTCCATGAAGCCATGAAACGCAGCTAGGCCATCGTTTCTCAACCTTGGTCGCTCTCAGACATGTGGACCTCAACTCCCACAATTGGCTGGAAGTGGCCAAGGTTGAGAAGCATTGCTCTAGGCCAGGGGTAGTCAACCTTGGCTCTTTTATGACTCGTGGACTTCAACTCCCAGAATTCCTGAGCCAGCACAGCTGGCTCAGGAATTCTGGGAGTTGAAGTCCACGAGTCATAAAAGAGCCAAGGTTGACTACCCCTGCTCTAGGCAGCTGATAATCTCTTCTGGGTCTTGTGACAGTTTAGGAGAACCTCAACTGAGAGAACTTTCCTGCCCATTGCCTCCCTTCAAGGGAGGTGTGATGGAGCTTCCATCCTGCTTAGATGTCCCTGCAGCTCCTTCCCTGCTTCTGCAGGTCTTCCTTTTCCCCAGCCAAAGTCCTGCCTCCACTGTCTTCAGCCCACACAACGTGGAGGACTGTTCTCCTTTGTTGTGAAATCTGAATCCCAGGCATTGAATTTCGCTGGGCCTTTTTCTCCTGATCTCCTCCCTTCCCAGGGCAAGGGTGGGGACCCAGAACCATCTCCTCCTCCTCCTCCTTCTCCAGATAGCGGAGCTCCACCTCTTCCTCAAGGGTTGGGAATGCTTACAAACACGGGCTGGGCGTGCACAACCTCTCGAGTAGGCCTGAAGGAAGCTGCGTAGGCTGCGGCGGAACATAGCCACGGGTTGGACAGGTTGATTGTGGGAGCCACGTGAAGCCATCCGGTCATAGCTTTGGGAGCACCAGGCTCTAGGGCAGGGGTCTCCAAACTTGGCAAGCTTAAGACTTGTGGACTTCAGTTCCCAGAATTCCTCAGCCAGTCCATAAACCACCTTTCTGTTTTCCTAGAGCAGGGCTGTCCAACCTTGACAACTTGCTGGCTGGGAAATTCTGGGAGTTGAAGTCCACAGGTCTTAAAGTTGCCGTGTTTGGAGACCCCTACTCTAGGAAAACAGAAAGGTGGTTTGTTCAACCAGGGTTAGGACTTCACACCTTGGAAAGAGGCGGCTGGAATTTCCATACTGCATCGGCATTACTACTTTGACCCCTGCAGCTTAAGTTTGTTTGCTTGTTTATTAAATTTATATATGCCATTTATCTCAGCACACTTTTCAGGTTGGCTGAAATATGGTTTTTTTGTTTTTTTTAGTCGATGACAAAACAACTAAACTGTTCCTTTGCACCAGCCAGCTAGTATCCAAGGAAATTGGCTCACCATATTTTTTTGTTTGTTTGTTGATGTCCTGCCTTAATTATCTTCATTAAGCAACTCAAGGCTGCAAACATATTTAATTAGTACTCCTTCCTCCGCCTATTTTCCCCAAAACAACAACCCTGTGAGATGGGTTGGGCTTGAGGGGGAAGTCACAAAACTGACTTTCGTGTCTAAGGTAGGACTAGAACTCACCATCTCCCGGTTTCTAGAAAATCCCAGAACTTTCTTCTCAGCTTGGCAAGGAGAAGTGGTTGGCTCCAGGGTGGAAGCTGGCTGCCGGATCAGGTGGAGATGCTGCTCCCTGGTGCAGGTCTTCTTCCCCTCCTAAAGAAAAATTGTAGGAAGAAAGTGAGTAGCTGGTTCTGGCCCGGAGAAACGGGGATCCCTAAATGAGGCCCCTCACCCGAGTTCCTAAGCAGTGGCCTGAATTTGGGGGGGCCGTAGAGAGGCTGAAGATTAAGGTTTCTCCTTAAGGATTGTCTTGGTGGGCAGCCTGTACCCCAGCATTACAGGCAGTCCTCGACTTACGGCTACAATTGAGCCCCAAATTTCTGCTAACCAAGACAGTTGTTAAGTGAGATTTGCCCCATTTCTTGCCTCAGTTGTTAAGTGAATCACTGCAGTTGATAAGTTAGTAACCTGGTTGTTAAGTGAATCTGGCTTCCCCACGGACTTTTGTTTGTCGGAAGGTCGCAAAAGGGGATCACGTGGCCCTGGGACACACTGCAACCGTCGTAAATGTGAATCATTTGCCAAGCATCTGATCGTGTGAGCTGAGGGGGTGGTACGAGTTATAAGTGTGGTGAATGGACACAGGTCGCTTTTTCAGTGCTATTGTAATTTCGAACCGTCATTAAACAAAGGGTTGTAAGTTGATGACTGCTTGTATTAGGGAACTGACCGTCTGATCTCTCCTGCAGTGAATCTGATGGGAACCCGAGCACAGAGGACGAATCCAGCCGCGGTCCTGAAGACATGGAAGCTGCTGGGGGGCTGTCCACCAACCATGAGGGAATCGTGGCCCCCGGCGGCCTGTTCCTGCCGGCGGCCTGCACCAGCGCCTCTTCCATCCTTCTGAACGGGAACTTCATCACCACCAGCTCTCCCCCGACCATGCTCCTGAACGGGGGCTCGGTGATCCAGACCCCCACCGGAGGGGTCATCCTGAACGGGTTGACTCTAGGAGACAACCAAACCATCACCCTCAGCCCCGTGGCAGCTCCCAGCCCACCCATCCTCCTGAACGGCTCTGCCAGCCTGCTGAGCCCCAGGCCCTCCAAGACGGAGGAGATGGGCAAAGCCCCACCGGACACCCTCTCCCCAACCACGGTCATCCTCAACCCGGTGGCTCTCCAGGGAGAGGTGAAGTCAGAGAACATCGACCCGCTGGCGTTCGGGGTGGAAATGAAGCCAGAGGATGGGCAGGGGGCAGCCCTCCCTCCCCTCCTGTCTCTCCCGGAGACCTCCCCACTCCTCTCCGAGCACAAGGGGGCGCTGTTGGCTGCGGTGCCCATGCCTCAAGTGGTCCCTTCGAATGAAGAAAGTCCCACGGTCCCCCTGTTGCCCGTAGCCCCTCAACCGGCAGCGCCCCAAAGTCCACAGATTGTGCCTCTTGCCAAACTGGTCCCTGTCGGTCAAGCTCTGCCCACTTCCCAAGGAACAGGGCCAGTAGGCACCGGGCAGGGGTCCACAGTGGTGGCATCTCCTGCCATCACCGCCACCCCCCTCCTCTCTCTCCCTGGGTCCTCTACAGGCCAAGCCACCGTCCTCCATGTTTCTGCCCCATCCCTTCTCCCGCTCACCCAGGTATCACCCCCTTCCCAGGTGGTCCCTCTGTCCCAGACGGTTTCCGGGGCCCAACTGTTGTCCCCACCTCAAATGGTCCCTGTGTCTCCCACCCAGATCTACACCATGTCCCATGGGGCTCCGCCACCTCAACTGGTCTCCATTCCTCAGGTGGCGCAGGGCTCCCAGCTCATCTCCTTGCCCCAAGTGGTGCCCACCTCTCAGGTGGTGACTCTGCAACAGGGCATGGGCACTCCCATCCAGATCCTGACAAGTGCCGCCCCCATCAAGGTGGGCCCTGTGGCTGGGACCCCACAAGGCACAGGAGGCCTTGGCCAGAACAACGTCCATCTTCTCAACACCGGTGTCGGCGTTACAGCCCTGCAGCTTCCAAGCTCAGCACAAGGTATCTATCTACCCCGGCTTCAGAGGTGGCTGAGCCTTGTCCAGCCGTAATTAAGGAGCTCTCCTAACATTATAGGAAGGCTAGGTGCTCTCCAGGAAACCAAAAGTGCACAGTCCAGAATTTGGAAGAGGGTTCCTGTTCTAGAAATTGTGGTCCCTGTACCAATAGAGGAGAATATTTGTAGCTCAGGATTAGCGTGCACACACACACACACGTTCCAGGAATCATGGATTTCTGGACCTCTCAAGAATTCTTCTCTGGTCATCACGGACAAAAACCTAGGTGGGGTTATTGTGAATTCCTCTGTCGCGCGTTCTACTTTCTCGGGACCAAGTTGCCGTTTCTCCTCCCTTAACCAGTTCTTCCTTCCTTCCCAAGGCCATCTCCTAAATCTGGAGAGGAGGCAGACACCGAGGTTGAGTGATGGGGAGCCAGAATGCTTAGGGGTCTTGTTTAACGTGGATCCTCTGTTGTCTTTCTGCTCCAGGTAACCTTATCCTGGCCAACCCAACCACCGGCAATAGCACCATCGTCACCGGCATGGCCGTTCAGCAAGGCAAACTTAACCTCACCGCCACCTTCCCAGCTAGCATGCTGATGACCCTTGTCCTCTCCGCTCCGGCAGCCTCAACCTTGACTCTTCCCATCAAGCAGGAGGTGGCGGTGGCCACACCGGTAGCTCTGGGGGCCTCTGAAGGCAATGGTGGGTTGCTTCCCGGAGTCCCCTCAGTGTTGCCCTCCGAAGTCTCCCCTCTTTCGTCCTCCAACAGCACTGGGCCAGCCAGCGTGGCCTTTGGATCAGACATCAGCCCAGGCTCCCTTCTTTCCAGCTTCTCCCAGCCAGAGACCCTGTCCATGTCCCAGCCGCAGGTGGTGTGGTCCAGCCCGGTGAGCCTGGACCTTCAGGGGAACAACTCTGAGGGGCTGTTTGAGATGGAGAAGGGGTCAATGGAGGAGCTCCGGTTGCCTGAGGGCGAGGGTCTTCTGCTGGATGCTGCTGAGGGGGATGCCCTGGGTCCCGAAGCTATGGACTCGGATGAGAAAGTGCTGACTCAGCTGCAGTCGGTCCCAGTGGAAGAGCCTCTGGACCTGTGAGACTTGGAGAGCTGGACAACCTTCTTCAAACTGAGAATTCGGACCTCCTGATCCTTCCCAGAGTAACTGAGTTTGCCAGTACTCAAAGTGCCTCGATCAGAGAAGGCGCTGGCGGTCCCATCTTTGCACAGGAATGGTGTCACACTACAGGGGTTCACCGCACGGCCCTTCATGCTGACCATAGCAAACCGCTGCTGGTGCGGCCAACCCGGGCATCTCTTTGTGGTTGTCAGAATAGCAAACACTACAGTACAGGGAGTCCTCAACTTACGACCGGTCGTTTAATGACCATGGAAAGTTACGATGGGCTTTTGAAAAGCTAGTTATGATCTCTCCTCAAAGTTATGAACAAGGCGTTCCCCCTTCCTTGGAGTCATGTGATCACATTTCGGGCACTTCACAACTGACTCACATTTACAACTGGTTGCAGTGTCCGGCAGTCTTGTGAGTGGAATTTGCTACGTTTTTGCCAGTTTCCGTATTGTTTTCAAATGTCCATTCAGAAGAATGGATTTGCTTAACGACCGTGTTTCATTTAACCACTGTGGTGACTCACTTTACGATTGTTGTAAAAATGGTCTTAAAAATCAAGTCCAGTCACGTGGTGCCTTGATTTATGACCGCAACAACTCAACAATTGAAATTCCAATCGCAATTGTGGTCGTACGTTGAGGACTACTTATGCTTCATACGGAAAAGGAAGAGCTGCTTCCATTCTTCATGGTGAAGGTCTTTTTTGAACTTCCCTTTCTAGTAGATACTCCTCTCTGTTTTCAAAGTCACACTACAGCTGGAAGCTGGAAATATCCCACTCGATCCGATATAATATAAAGTAATATTTCCTGTTCTCTCGTCCATGGTGCTAGGGATGATCCCAAATCCCCCTTTGAAGAGGCAGGAAAATTATCCAGTTTCCATGCTTTTGTTCTCGGGTTGTTTTTTTTCCGGTGCCGTTGAGGACAGCCTGTCATTCTTCAGAAACGTCACCTCTGGAAGTATGGAGAGAATGATTGGGAAGAAACTGAGCACACCTGGAGCGTCCCGATGGATCAGTTGGAGAAGGCCATTCTGGGTGATGAGCGTGCAATCTTAGTTTGAATAACCCTATTCCGAAATAGATCTAGTCCTCCAGAGCAGAAAAGGCCAGCTGGGTGTCTCTCCAATCTATCTGCACATGTGCCTTGTTGGTGGAACGAATGTTTTGAATCTGAAGATAAGAGGACTACAAAAGCATTGGGCTAACCATGACAATCCTATCCATGGACAATGCAAAAATGGTGTGGATTCTGCACAGGTCGGCCCTACAGTTAAATGGTACCTAGATTTTACATACAGAACAAGCTTCTTAAGCCACAATGATCTTGAGTTACTCTAGAACATCTCTATATTTTGGAGTGAGAACCAGAGGCAGCTGTCCAGCATAGTTACTCTCACGTGGTATGGATGGAACGGCCTGAGAGATGGAAATCTGTGTTATTGCAAAACAGAGTTCCTCCCCAAGGACCCCAAAATGGATTGCTTCTCTTTGAACATGCTGAAATCCTAAAACCAGGGCTGAAAAAAAAAATGCATAAAATCTGTTTCTAGAAGACAGGCCTTCTAAAAACACAATTCCCCATACTTTGTGTAAATTAGATGCAATTCTGCTGCCTGTATGTTTTAGTTTCTATCATGTGGATATAAGGAAACTAAGTACCATTTTATTCACACTACATTCATACAACCTTTGGGAAATTTTAAGATGTTGAGTGACATGTGAGAATGGATTTTAAGAACCAAAGCTATCCCAGTTATAAAATGGAAGTTGGAATTTACTATAAATTGAAGATGCCGCATATAGAGTGGAGAAAGTCAAGCCTTAATGCAATGTTTTTCAACCTTGGCTCTTTTAAGACGTAGACTTCAACTCTTAGAACTCTGGCTGGGGAATTCTGGGAGTTGAAGTCCATACATCTTAAAAGTAGCCAAGGTTGAAAAACAATGGCATAATAGAATAATCTTGCATTAAACATTCCTAATAGGCTACCTGTTTACATGTCCTTCAGAAATATTAATGCTTTTTTAAAGCATTAAAATATGTTCCATATAAGCAAAAATATTTTGTTCTAAAGATGATTTTTGCAGAGAAAAACTGCAGATGGAAATCTTGGTTTTTCTAGCTGAAACAGAAATAATCTTAAAGGAAACCTGGAGAGTTGTCTTTAGCCAATATGAACAAAATTAAACTAGATATGATAGCCCAGATCTCTACAAATAGTCCTTGAGTTGTGACCAGTTGCTTCATGACAATTCACATTTACAGTGACTAAGGAACACTTAGTCAGTGTACTTTACTTTATGGCCTGTAAAGCAACCATTGGCCATTGTAAATGCCCTCCTCTGTGGTGTGACCACATGTTGGGCACTTGGCAACTGGTTGGCCACAGTTTGTGACATTTTTTAACAATTTTCTGGCAAAAAAAAACCCCATTCAAATGAATGGATTCACACTTACGACCATCATGTTCGCTTAACGACCTCTGGCAAAAAGGTAATAAAATCACTTCCAATCACATGGGTACCTTGGACTTGGGGCTGGATTGCCAGTTCCAGTTGCAAAACGGCTCTACACTACTTTGAAATGTATATTTTACACACTTATCCGTTCCAGGTTCTGACTAGGACAGACCTGATTTTTTTTTCAAAGACGGGTAGTCCTCAACTTATGACCGTAATGGAGCTTCGCCATCGTGGTCATCAGTTGTGACAGTCAAAACAGATCCATTATATAATGGACCCGATTATATACAACCTTTTTTCTGGGGGTCACTGAGCAAACCATTTTGCTAAGGGAGCGGTTTTGCTGAAAACCGGAAGTAAGTGCCAATTTTTGGCAAAACCGTTGTAAAATGCAGTCATGTGACCACAGGATGCTGCAAACCGCTGTGTTCCTGAGCGCCTGAGGTCTGATCACATGACTGCGAGGGGAGGGGATGACTGTCAGAACTTTGAATCTGGATCACAAGTAACCCCAAAGTAGGTTTTTTCTAACTTTGAATAGTCACTAACTGACCAGTCGTAAGTCAAGACTACATGTAACATATTTGTCCATTAACTCTCAAGCTAAGAAATACAGGTAGTCCTCAATTTACAACAGTTCATTTAGCGACCACTCAAAGTTACAACGGTACTGAAAAAAAGGACTTATGACCGTTTTTCACACGACCGTTGCAGCCTCCCCAAGGTCACGTGATCCAGATTCGGACACTTGGCAACTGACTCAATGACAGTTGCAGAGTCTCAGGGTCAAGTGATCTCTTTTTGCAACCTTCTGACAAGCAAAGTCAATGGGGAAGCTAGATTCACTTAACAACCAGGTTACTGACTTAATAACTGCAGCGATTCACTTAACAACTGTGGCAAGAAAGGTCATAAAATGGGGCAAAACTCACTTAACAAATGTTTTGCTTAGCAACAGAAATGTTGGGCTCATTTGTGGTCCTAGGTTGAGGGCTATCTGTATTGCAATTAGTTCCAGTCCTCCAGGACAAAAACATATCACTCAAGTGAATCCATGAAGGTCTTCAGCAAGTTGAGGTACACTCAGTTCAAAAACCATCTTTGGATGGAGTTACCGGTTGAGACATATTGTGTTACAAGGTGGGAAACTTTACAATTCACTCTATTGAGAGAAATCCCATCAGTACGGTAAAGCAATTGTTTTCCAACAAGAAGACCACCTTGGTGTATGCAAATACAGCATTGTAATTTCTCTGAATTTCTCTAAACATGCCTTCTTTCCCGTCAGGTACTAAAGAAACACATCTGTTCCCACCGTTTGTGAGAAGCAATCATTTCTATAAGATATTTTTATATCCTTTGTTTTTTACGTCTTTTTGTGTCTTTTATATATATTTTATATATATAAATATATATAAATATATATTTTATCCTAAAACTATGTCTGTGCCTGTGTTCATTCTATGGGGAAATTGAGATTGTACACTGGTTTATGAAACAGTTTGTTTCCATAGCTGAGGACTGTTTAAGGTCTCAGTGTTTAAACCACATTTTCAAGTTTGCGTTGGGTTGTCACTTGGCCCTCTAGACTGCTGAGACTACAAAGCCCACATTCCCTTAGCATTGCTCTGGCTGGCTGGGGCTAATGGATGTTGAAATCTGTGATAGCTAGAGCCACTTTTGACCCGGGTTCTACAGTTACTAGTGTGTACATACGCTCAGGGTCACCATCTTGCCTTTTTCGACCACCATGGGCCCCTATGCCTCCTGTAAATCATAAAAGATTTGGACAGATGCTCATTCCAGTGCATGGGGAGCAAGCTAGGAGCTTCCTGTGGAAAATGGGCTTGTGAACCTGGGGCGACTTCAATCCCAGAACAAAGCTGGTCCTTCCCCCCCCTGAGAGTTGAGTTGCTGGGAAGAAGTAAGGCGATCCAGGTTGGATCGTGTTACGCAGATGGCTGTGTAAGTAATACCCACTTGGGTGGGAGCCAGGGGGAGCTTTTCTGATCCTTGAATCGGAAGATAAAGCATGGGAGGGGGCTGGAGGGATCCAGACCGAATCTCAGGTGAGGTTAACCCTTTGTAGAGATTAAATCTTGTACTGGTATGAAAAATGCAGGAAGGAGAATAGCTTATAGGGATGGAAATTAGACGAAAAGAATAGCAACATGAAGCAGCAGAACAAAACCAGTCTCAGGTTTATGTATCTAAGGTTATTCATTCATTCATTCATTAAATCAGTGTTTTTCAATCCTGTCAACTTCATACTCATCTATATCCAATACATATATGGAACGTATAGCATATTCAGTATATATTGTTTTCAATATTCATCTAACGTAGTCTTTCTCAACTTTTAGATTTGTGGACTTCAACTCCCAGAATTCACGAGCCAGCAAGGAATTCTGTCCATGCATCTGAAAGCTGAGAAAAGCTATATTAGATGAATATTGAATGTAATATATACTGAATTTCAATAGTATGCTGGCTGGGGAATTCTGGGAGTCAAAGTCCACACATTGGAAAGTTGACAAGGTTGAAAAATATTCCATTAGATTAGATGAATATTCTACCTTGCCTTTAGCTCCTTAAGGCAGCCTAATTAAAATGAAATCTGCTGCTTTAAAAAAAACAACAGAATTTAGAAGGCACTAATTTTCTAGTCCTTAAAACTGCAAATGTCACATTTAAGGTGGTTTCTTGCCAATTAGTCTCAGCAGTCGTACAAAAGCAGACAACAAGCCAGAATGTGTGCCAACCAGACCCACCCACCCACCCCCCAAAAAAATGCACAGGTTGCAAAATTTCATGATTCCTCATTTTTCAAGGGGTACCTCACTCTAAGGAAACTCATTCTTCCTGCTTGAGGGATGTTCCAGAAACAGCGACTGGAAAGTGTGTCTGCAAAACATGGTCCAAAAAAATCAAGCTTCATCATACTGCCATGGCTACTCTCTTTTGAAATTTTGGTCCACCTGCTGCGGACGCCCCAGCCATCTTAACCATCTTTCAAAATGATTAGCTTCTGTGTGCTGGAAATGAGGGAGAAACAAAGTTGTAATTAATTGTTCAAGCAATGTTGCTTCTGTTCGTTGAATGAGGAAGGGGAAAGCAGTCCACCAACGGAGGCTCGGGGTGCCAACCGAGCATGGAGCAATGACAGCCCATAAGCCACAGCAAGGGAGAGGAGGATCCCCCATGCGGAGATTTGAGATCTTGCACAGTTCCCGCCATGAACCAACGAATCAAATACAGCCTTGCCTCCCAGCCATCCCTTGCTGGATGTTGCTTTCGCCTGCAGCTGCAAAAAGCCTCTTGTTTTTTTTTTGCAAGTTGCAACAGGTTGTTTGTCTTGCGAATAGCTGCCTGCTGCTGAGTCCGAAACATGATCCCTGCATGGGAAGAGCAGGAAACGGCAGAGGCAGCAACCTTGCTCTTTGCCTGCACTGTCACCACCTGGCGAGGCCAGGAACAAAGGGAGACAAAAGCCCCTGTCACAGGGATCCTCACCACCCCATGAAAAATTCCACTTGTTTTGCTCAGAAAGAGGAAGATGAGCCAGCAACCGCAGCTTGCCCACACCTGTTTGTTCTGAAAAGAGGAACTTCGCTCTTATTGTCCTTATTGAGTTTTCCCCTTTTTTTCAGAAGAGGTGCAAAACCCTTGAAAGGGATAAGATGACCTGGAAGACGACGGGTTACATTTGATAACATTTTCAGAGTTTAGGGGCCGTAGCTGAGCAGTGGCTATAGAAGCATCTGTGTCCTGTTTAGCTCTTTTGTCACTTAACGATAATCAACGATAACCACACTGGATAAGGGGCAAACCAAAAAAAAAAGCTCTGATTTTGGATAAACGGGCTGATCTCTGAGCAGATCTGCCAGGTCTTTCCTTTTCTGTGGGTCTCCTGCTCCCCCCTCTGTAGGGGGCATCTCACATTTCCATACCCCCACAACCTCCTCCACTGAAAGGTTTACCATCCCAGGGTGACGTGGTGAAAGTCTCTCTGGCTCTTCTTGCGGAGTTGGCCAATGGCTGGCCACAGCTGCAGCCTGTGTGGGCTGGGCCTGTAACCGATACCCCCCAAGACATCTACCCTGGGCAACTGTCTCTAGAGCCAGAAGACAGAGAAAGGAGTCCTGAGTGTACGGAGACCTGGAGAAAGGAGAAGAGACATGGCCACCAAAGGGAGGAACGTGGAAGGCACCAGCGTGGCCTTCCACGTCCCTTGGACTCTCTTGTCTTAGTGAGGCAGAGCTGACGTGGTCATCCAACCACAGAGGACCCTTCTTTGTGTCAAGGACCCTTCTTTGTGTCAAGGACAGCAGGGTCTTCTACAGGGTAGATGTTGGGTGGCCTTGGTGGACCGCCATAAACTGCCTTTGACAGCCACAAAGTTTTGGAGCCTCCACCTGAGGTCCTGTGGGAAAGAGCACGTTATTTCCCACTTCACCATGAATTTTGGCTTCACGCAAGAGCAAGTGGCTTGCGTGTGTGAAGTCTTACAACAAGGGGGCAACATCGAGCGCTTAGGACGCTTCCTCTGGTCCCTGCCAGCTTGTGACCACCTGCACAAGAACGAGAGCGTCCTAAAGGCCAAAGCGGTGGTGGCCTTCCACCGGGGCAATTTTCGGGAGCTCTACAAGATCTTAGAGGGCTATCAGTTCTCTCCGCACAATCACCCCAAACTTCAGCAACTTTGGCTCAAGGCTCACTACACCGAAGCGGAGAAGTTGCGCGGAAGGCCGCTGGGAGCTGTTGGAAAATACCGGGTGCGTCGCAAATTCCCTTTGCCTCGGACCATCTGGGACGGGGAGGAAACCAGTTACTGTTTCAAGGTAGGTCTTCTTGGCATTGTGTTTTGTCCAGTGGTACTTCTCAACTCTTGTGGACATCCCACTCCTAACAAAGAAAACTCTGTTTCCAACACCCAGACACCTCAATTTTTCAAGCACAAAAACCATCGATTGTTCTTTGCAAAGTTTATATTTGGGATAAACCACCTGACACTCCAGTAAGGTGATAATAAGTCATCTCTTGCCTAAATCTACTATGTTCTTCTAATTATCCTTCTGTATTTCTATCACACTCAACTCTGGGGTCAATTTATTTCCAGTGGAATAGCTTTTACCTAATTGCCATTAGGAAATTTTATTTTAATCTTTAAGCCTCTGCATTGCCTCTGTTTCCTCTTTCATGGACCTACACTCCTACTTTCTTTCTTCTCCTGCCAAAAGAATCTCTCATGCTGACTCCCATCTCTTTGTTTTTTTTTAAACCCTTCCATCCTACTCTTTTTCCCACTAGTCTTGCCATAATGCTGGTTTGATACAAGAAACCTGCCCTTTGAAATATCCTTTTAACCACTGGTACATAAAACTTTTTCAGGCTGAGCGCTGCCCTCGGTCTTTGGAAACTGGGGTTCTATTTCAGAAACTAGAAAGGGGACAAGACAGAAATGTTTCTTGGGTAAAGATTAAAGTTTGGCCTGACTTAATTCTCGTTAATTTAATTTGTTAAATAATTAAAGATCTGTACAGGAATAAGGATCTCTCCCTCGGGTTTACACTTTCCTTTTTTTTTTGTCATGGAAAAAAAGGAAAAATTTGTAACCTGTTTTAAAGGTGCCCTGGATGGTAGACCCCCGACTTTCAGGGGTTGTTGTGTAAGGTTCAGAAATCTCACCCTACATCAGTGCTCAAAACTTTTTTATGTCTTGCCTACATCTTTAAAAGTTGTACTGAAAATACACAATGCAAGATTTCCTGCCATTCATTCCCTGTTACTTTTGCCTCTGTTCATCTTATTTACTGCAACATTTAGTTTGGGAGATTATTGGAGGGGGGGGTCTCTTGCCTGCTTTGGTCTTTCATGCCATTTCTTACTTCCTCTAAATTCCTCCAGAAACATTCTGAAATAATCATCTGAGGAAAGCCATAATCCTGCATCTCCAAGAACATTCTGGAAAAGTTTCAAAACGCATATATTTTATGCAGCCTTTGGCAGGCAAGAGAGATAATATATGCCCTAGCTCTGTTATTACAGTCAAGCAAGATTTTCCTTCGCCATTAAATTACAGAAACGGCCCAAGCCTTCAGGCTTTGCAAAATTTCGCCCTTGATTAAAAATAAAAGAAGGGGATGGTGATTGACTGCTTATTTTTGGAAGACAACCAAGATCAAAGAACGATGACATTGCCCCCTATGGGTTACATTCTAACATTTAACCTGACCTTGAAATATATACACTTAAAATAATACTGTGTGCTTTTGAAGTTGGTCTAACGGCAAAAGAGGACAAAGTTACTTGCAGCAGTTCAAAAAAAGAAAAAAGAATTTTGGAATTGTAAGAACACCGTAGTTAGGTTACTGATTCTGGGTTCCTGCAAAAAGAAACTAAAGACCATTAAATGCATTTATAGCAAATAAAGATTTGGTTGCCCCAGCTGAAAAATGTTTAACAATAAAAATGCTAAAAAATTAACAATAAAATTGCTAAAAAATCCTGAAGTACTATTTCTGTCTGGGAAGGTTAAAGAGTTTAGAATCTCTGTTTTTGTTTTTTGGGGGGGGAGATTTAAGTGAGGATTTGATGGGGCCTTGCGGTATTACAATTAGTGCAGAGAGGAAATTTTTGCTTTTAAAATTTTGGTCTGATTATTGAGAATCCTTGATTTATGATCACAACTGGGACAAGAATTTCAGTGGTTACATGATGTCGTTATTAATTTTATGACCAATTTTACTGCTGTTGTTAAGCAAAGCTAGCTTCCCCTATTGACTTTGCTTTTGGGAAGCCAGCATATAAAGTCACAAATCATAATTACACGACTGCAAGATATTGCAGCCATCATAAATGCGATCCAGTTGCCAACCTCTTGAATTGCAATCACGTGAAAGGGGGTGGTATCTTCGAGGACGGACTGTAAGTCACTTTTTCTGAGGCCGTCGTAACTTTGAACTGTTAAACAAACGTCTGTAAGTGGAGGACTACCTGTCATGCTAAGTTCAATGACTTTCCGCTCTCCTACAGGAAAAATCCCGGAGTGTGTTACGGGAATGGTATATCCACAATCCCTACCCATCCCCTCGTGAGAAAAGAGAGCTGGCAGAAGCTACTGGGCTGACTACAACTCAGGTCAGCAACTGGTTCAAGAATCGGCGCCAGAGAGACCGTGCAGCAGAGACCAAAGAGAGGTGAGGGGGCTTCTCTGCCAGCAGGGAATTCAAGGCAGCTATTCTGAATTTATTTATTTATTTGTAAAATTGGTTAGCTGCCCATCTTGCCACAGAGTAACTCTGGGCAGCTTACAATATTAAGTTTTTTAAAAAATTAAAATACAGCAGCAGCCTACAGAAAATAGCCTGGGGCCAAGGGCAAGAAAATGGTCGTGGGGCTAGACCTGGTGGCTAGGGTGAGCCAGGAAATGAGGACCGAGACATGAGCAGGTGTAGAACAGAAGGGTTGGGGGAATCTCAGATGAGCGGGAAGCAGACAGAAAGATTTCCCTTGCTATTCCATCTTCCATACCGCTGCTTCTGCCACTAAGACAGCGTTTCTCAACCCCGGCCATTTTAAGATGTGTGGGTTTAATTATATGTTATGGCTAATCAATGATTTTTTAAAAAAAATATCCGCAAAGTACAGTACAGTCCCAAAGGTCAAGAAGGTGGCAATGACTGATCAGCTGAAGCTTTGCCTAGTTTTTATGTAAAACACAGATAAAATAGGAGAAAGAAAGAGTATTATGATATTTGCTGCCTTGAGTTAATTCTAAAGTAGTAAAGATGGAATAAAAATCTAATTGATCAAACCACAGATACAAAAACAGGAGGGGCTTTAATCACCCCATTATGGCCACCCTCTTGATTTTTCTGACAATGTGCTGCAGTCACCCCTGAAATACCCCAGATCAGAGAAGGCTGAAATATTTATTTAACACGTGCAACTGATTAGATTACTTTAAGACCAACTGATTTAGTTGGCATCTTGGCAATAGAATTTTGGAATCATGTGGACTTAGGCATTGTCTTTTTCTTTTTGGCTGCAGGGAGAATGGCGAGGGTGGCGTTCTGAAGGAAGGACAGGGCCTGCCCCGAGACAGACACATGATCCCCAGCTCTGAGGATGAAAGCTCCCTCATTGACAGCCCCTCACTGCTCTACCCTGCCTTGCAGCTTTCAGTTCCCAAGGGATCCTCTCTTCACAATGCCCAACGGGTGGATTACCTGCAGAACCAGCCTCTCCACAATGGCCTCCTGGGGTCCCTCACTTCCACTCTGGTAAATCTGGGGTCCTGAAACAATAGAATAAGAAACTGCCACATTCTCAGTGGATTGCTTCTGTGTTCTAGCCCCCCCCCCCCAACATGTAAGTATTCCCATTTCCAATTGAAAGGATCATCACATTGTGTCTCTTTGTAAGAAGGGAAACTGCTACAACCATATTGAATCATCACATTTAATGCTGAGGAAAAACAAACCACGTTCCACGGGATGGAAAATGTCATGTGTTTTTCTAATTGTGAGAAAAGCTTGAAGCCATCTGATCTGAAATTTCCTCTATCTGCACATTCCCTGAATGGCCAAATTCTTGATTTTTCCACACTTTGCACCCTAAAATAACGACAGGAAAGTCACTTAGCTGCGAAAACAGCTATAGAACCAAGCAAGTGTAAAGAGCAGATGAGTAACTAACAGGACAGAATCAGGAGTTTAAGGTGAGGATGGGTGTCTGCAGCAGGAACATCTGTTTAAAGTAGACAGCATCCAATTAAGGTTAATTAGGACTTAGGCCTGGACAGCTGAGCACATACAAACACTTGTCCCCTAGAGAGAACAGATGCAATTTGCGTATCTTGCCACAGTGCCAAGAACCTTAATGACTTGGATAGAGAACCGTATTTGAGGGGTTTTCGAATGGAACCTGGAAAGGAAGGAGACAGAAACAGCCTGCGACTGATCCTCTGCTAGTGGTTCTTTTTGCAGAGATTCAGCAAGAGTTCATAGGATTGGGATAACCCTGGAATATCCCTCTTGAAAGGTGTGGGATGGGCATTTAGGCCTTTTGGGACGGATTGCTTGAATGGAATCCAATGGTATGCAAGTAGTTCATCAAAGCCAAATCACATTTTTCTGCCATTTTTTTTAAATAAATGTAAAATTGAAAAACACGTTTATCTTGGGCCAGATTCACTAACTCTTGGTTTGTGTCCAGGTTAAAAAACCTACTGTCCACTTGTTTCCTTCTTGCACAAATCTTTGTGTGGTTGTCAGTCTGTCTTGCCTCTTTACCCACCTGTCATGGCTCCAAAGAAAAATGTTACAAGGAACAAGGATATTCTGTGGTAATTTCTGGAATCAGTGTCAGAGGCTGCAATTTTCTATTTGAGGATATGTCCTAACTGAATGGGATTTATTTTTAAGTAGGCAGGCACAAGACTGCACCGTGGGCTTAGAAATCTCTAGGGCAAATATTATTTCTATGTCAAACTCGTGAAGTACATCATCAGTCTCTCAGGCCCAGATCTATATTTGCAGAATGAGGATACGGTATTAATAATGTTGCTGTACTTTATAAACCCGGATGGCTCAGTGGTTAAAGACGCTGAGCTTGTGAGTTGGAGAACTGACAGCCTGTGTTCGAGACCCCAGTTCTGCATAATAGGGTGAGATACCATGCCTTGCCCCAACTCCTGCCCACTTAGCAGTTTGAAAGCATACAAATGCAAGTAGATTAATAGGTACCACTTTGGTGGGAAGGTAACAGCGTTCCGTGCGCCTTTGGTATATAGCCATGCTGGCCACATGACCAGGGAAAATGTCTTCAGACAATGCTCCCTGTTGCCTTTCACTTTCACAATCACCCAGCTCAGATCAGAGAAGAGACACAGAGGCACCCAATCAGTTAATTTTACTGCGGTATTTTATTTTGATTATAAATAGAGTTGGGGGGGGGAACTACCAATAAATATATAAATAGGTAAAAACAATGGAGAAATCCATTGAAGTTTAAAACAGTATTTCAAACAGAAACTGATCTGTGCATAGAGGACACAATCGAAAAGAATAAAGGGATGACTCAGCATTCTGCTGAAACAAAATTCCAGACCAACCAAAAATATAAAGAGCCTGATTTAAGCTCTTCCTACAGACAAAATTCTCCCTTCTCAATATGAAGCATTAACTCTCCTTAGCTCAGAACCAGTTTAGTCTCTTTAAAACTTCCTAACTCTCCTTGAACAAAAGCAAACCTGCAGAATTATTCCTTCCTTGGGATTTTGAAGTACTGGCCCACCTAAAAGAATCAGTGGAAACTCAATGCCATCCAGAGCAAGCGATGAACTGGACTTGCCTCAGTTAAAAGTTTAAAACACCTAGAGACCTATATAATAATACTATATAATAAAGCTTCAAACTTGGTGTGAAACAAGCAAGTGTATATGGACCTCAAAAATTCCATTTGTACTCGCCAAATATGGAACTAAATTGCTGGTAACTAAGGGGTGGCTTTAAGAACATCTATGGCACAAAGCTGTCGGAGAGAGGAAGATCAGATAAAAGCTTAGACAACATATATAAACCTTAGTTTTTTTGTCTCCAGTTCATTAGAATTATTTTTAAAAATAGATCCTTTCAAATGGTTTTGTGCTTTTAGATCAAGGATAAAAATTAATATAAAATCTTAAACTTGGCATGTTTTCCTGTCATCTAGAGCTACAGATTCCTTTTACTCTTGCTGTTCTCTTCCTGCAGTTGATCCTGCGTTGTTCAAGACCACTAGAGATCAACTTTGGACACAGGTAGAACAGCCTATATAGTAGTAACTGGAACATCTGGAAATCTGCGGGGGGCGGGGGGGAAGCCCATCTACCTATGTTTTCATTCTGCTCAGGAAACCCAAACACATAACGTCAGATGAAACATTGGTGGTAGAATAAGATTTAAGGCTAAACAAGGAAAATAGATGGGGAAAGTTGACGTCTTGGGGAGACATCGGGGTAAAATCATCTCCTTCCTTGTTGCTTCTCTATTGCCCTACATTCCCCCTGTCAACAAGACCAGTAAAGCTCCTATTGCTTGATACTTTGCTAAAAATGGAGTAGGCACACACTCTATTGCAGAACCATGGGTAGGGAAGTTCCAATTTCATCAGCAGAGAGAGGACTTTGGACCCCACTGAACAGATATACATTACCATCCCAGAGGGGAAGAATCATGGAATACAGCCTAACAAAGAGATGTTGCCCACTGTCTGGATGCTGGGAATGGATTTCTCAGCAAGCAGCAGATGGAAGGGTTTGGGCGGCTCTGGTTCTTCATCACCACTGGAGAAGTCGTCTCTCACAATTCGGTTGTTGAGGCGGCTGAATCGGCGAGCTTTCATGCTGTGAGGAAGACGGAAAGAGCATAAAAAGAAAGTTTAGAATCTAACAAGAGGTTTCTTGTTGGAATTATCTGTCTAGTCACACTATACAAGTAGTCCTCAACTTACAAGCATATATTTAATGACCATTCAAAGTGACAACAGCATTGGGGGAAAATTGAATTATCACCGGTCCTCACATGAACTGCCGCAGCATTTCCATGGTCATATAATCAAAATTTGGGCGCTTGGCAACTGGAATGTTGTAAGTCGAGGATTACCTGTACGTGATTCACTTAACAAATGTAGTGATATACTGTGGAAGTCTACAAGCCTTGCCAAGATTGGACACCCCGGTTCCACAACATGGCCAACTGATTCTCCAAAGAATTACCTGATCCCATTATTCACTGTTGCCCAAAACAAAACATACCAATATGGCTTCCGCTCCTGCTTTGTCATCATACGCCACAGCTGGGCCAGTTCCCTTGTAGCTGCAGTGGAAGCCATGCCTGGGCAAGTGCTATGAAGAGAAAACATTTGTTTGATCAAACTCACGAGAAGCAGGCAGCCAAGATATTGTCAAAGTCCCTAAATCCCTCAAAGATTTCAAGAAAACAATGTTTCTATAGTGAGCATTATCCAAGTCAGGAATTTGACCGCCCGGAGTTCAATCTTGACAGGGCTCAAGGTTGACTCAGCCTTCCATCCTTCTGAGGTCGGTAAAATGAGGACCCAAATTATTTACAAACAGCTTAGATAGGGCTGTAAAGCACTGTAAAGAGGGTATATAAGTCTAAATGTTATTGCTAACCCAGGCCAAATGTTCTGCAAATAGTTTCTTCGTGCCTAAATGACCTTGGTAAGTGTATTGTAGTGATTTTTTTGTATTTTTTTGACATATTTATTATATGTTGTTGCTTTATTGCTAAAAAGCCTGGTCTTTGAGGATTTGCTCCCTTGTTTATTTGTCCATTTTTGTAAACTTTCCCTAAATGCTTCCTGTTGGCAATATAGTAGTTACGAGACTTCAAATCTATATTGGCCTTGAATTTAAAAATCCCTAGCTAAATCTGAACATAGCAAAGAGCTCACTGTGGCTGTAAGTAAGTTAGCCCCAACTTCCACTCTATAAGAATAGGAAGAAGGGACAATAATTGATATTACAGGTCTATTCTAGCAGTGAAGATATACAGGTAGCCTTTGATTTATAAGTTTGCTTAGTGGCCGTTTGAAGTCACAACAGTACTGAAAAAAGTGACTTTATGACCATTTTTCACACTTAATAATAATAATAATAATAATAATAATAATAATAATAATAATAATAATAATAATTTAATTTGTACCCCGCCCTTCTCCTCACCGGACTCAGGGCGGCTAACAGCCTTATAAAACAACATTACAACAAATATCAATATTAAAACCAAATTAAAAGAAAATATTTGTAAAGGCCTAGTCGTTAAAATTACCCTTAAAATTACCCTTAAAAACCCCACTAAAATTCCCTAGGCCAATCCCGCTTGTTGGAAAAGCCATGTCTTTAGGNGGGATCACCCGGATCTCTGGGGGTAGTTCGTTCCAGAGGGTGGGGGCTCCCACCGAGAAGGCCCTCCCCCTGGGGGTCGCCAGCCGGCACTGTCTGGCTGACGGCACCCTGAGGAGACCCACTCTGTGGGAGCGTACCGGCCGATGGGAGGTAACCTGCGGCAGAAGGCGGTCTCGGAGATATCCAGGTCCGATGCCACTTACAACTGTTGCAGCATCCCCAGGGTCACGTGATCCAAATTCAGACACTTGGCAACTGACTCACATTTATGACGGTTGCAGTGTCCCCGAGGTCACGCGATCCCCTTTTGCGACCTTCTGACAAGCCACATCAATGGGAAAGCCAGATTCACTTAACAGCCATGTTCCTAACTTAACAACTGCAGTGATTCACTTAACAATAGGAAAGTCATAATATGGGGCAAAACTCTCTTAACCCATGTCTCGCTCAGCAACAGAAGTGTGGAGCTCCATTGTGGATCGTAAGTCGAGGACTACCTCTATACTGAGAGAAACTAAAAAGCTGCATGCTTGCTAATTGCAGGAAATGCCTTAGTTGGCTGCAGTTTAGTCTCCCGAAAGAAATTTGCTTTTCCACTTCTCCTCACCGGATGAAGTGCTTGCGGTTCAGGCGACAAAACATGATGAAGCCGTTCACGCACTTCTTCTTCAGCGGCAGGGGAGACGAGCCGTGGGTGCGTTTCTCGCCGCTGGCCGGTGGGCGCCGGGCTCTCCTGCCCGCCCTCTTCTTCTTCTGCTTCTGCTTCTTCTGCCTCTTCGGCTGGGGTCCCTGCGGTGCCTTCGCCCTCTGGCAGGGGGTCCAGGTGCTGTCGCTGTCCTCCTCACTGGGGGATGCGGGGCCTTCGGGTCTCACTGGGGGGGCCTCCTGAAACTGCGAGGGGCAAAAAGAGGCCGGGGACATGGGAGCTGATATCCAATAATTGCCCGGATAATAAAACAGAACTTGATCTAGGATGATCATAACTTCAGCCATGTTGGGATGTGGAATTTACTAGCTGGAACAGTAAAGCATAACCATGGGCCAGTTGATTGATTGGAGAGGGTGGGCTCCTGCAGGTGGCCATCTACGCTGTGATTGGTTGTGGGGTGCAAAGGGGGAGGTTCCCTTTTTTCCCGCCTTTTTTTCTTCTGTCTGGGCTCTGTATTGGTGTTTAGATTTACCTCAGGATGTGCCTGACTATCTTGGCTGCTGTAAATGTTAACATATATTTATTTAACATTTACATATGTATATGTTAAATAAATAGATTTGACATTAATATGTTAACATATATATACAACTATATATTGTAGTTATATAGTTTTATATATGTGTGTGTGAGAAAGAAAATATTGAAATATTTAAATTTGATAATTAAATATAATATTCTATATTAATATAATATAGAATATATATATATAATATTTTCTCTCTCACACATACACACACACACATATATATATAAATATGTAACTATATAACTACAAGTTTGTGTCAGTGTCTCTTACTTTATTTTGGACACTTGCAGTACAATTCCCCTGATAAGTCACTTAATCCCTAATTAAATTAGGATATGATACAGGTAGTCCTCGATTTACAACAGTTCATTTAGTGACCATTCGAACTTATAAGGGCACTTTAAAAAGTGACTTAGACCATTTTTCACTCTTATGACCATTGCAACTTTCCCATGGTCACGAGATTTACATTCTGATGCTTGACAACTGACTCATTTTATGACGGTCGCAGTGTCCCGGAGTCATATGATCACCTTTGGTGACCTTCTGACAAGCAATGGGGAAGCCACTGTCTCTTCTGTGGGTATTTAGGTTAAGGTTTTATTAAAAGTTGGTAGGATTTGTGAAACTCTTACTAAAATAAATGGGAGGAAGGTGACCTTGTCTGAATTCTACATGTCTTTAGTGAGACAGAAAAATGACATAAACATCATGTCCGTTGTGTCATGAAGAGTCAGAACTGACCATAAGATTGAACAATTACAACATCTATTGTTTCTAACCACTGCTTGGAGCTCAAGATGCTGCCTCTGATCCTTTAACCAATATACAACTGATTTACAGCTGCGGTATCAATAGGGTCTCTGTTTTAAAGCCACAGGAATATAGGTGACAATGGCTACCTTTTGGACAGATAAATATAAAGTATATAGGAGTAGGCCTTAATAAGAACATTAGAAGATTCTGTATATACAAAATTACATATGCAATACAGCTACATTTTCTTACTTGCTTTTTGTACATGGTCAGATTCTTAGCTAATGCAAAGCAAAATTACCTGACCATTGCAGAAAATCCCAACAAGATTCCATGACCTGATTTCTCTGGCTCACAAATTACCAGTTCCATTCTTCACAACCCATTTCCCACCTCTTTGACTTGTTCGCTCCACGAGGATATTATTTCATTCACTCTTGACATGGGGCTGGATTCGGTTTTACCTGCTTCATTGTAGGAAAGGTAACAGTGATCCAGCGTGAATGCTGACTGCAAGAGAAGGAAGAAATCGGAGGGATGGCATTGTAAATGGAATTAATGAAGGCGGGGGAAGGAAAGAAGAACAGAAAAGAATATTAGGCTTCAAATGTAAGTTTTTACATGAACGTATATAACAGTCACCAACCCTGTCTAAAATACTATTCAGTCTTGTTTCCTTATCATTTAAACTGACGTTAGTCTTGGATCAGTTTAACGATGCATGATTTGCAGAGTTGTTAACAACTGGGACAGTGTCTTACTCTCAAAGAGTTGCTTACTGAAACTTAGAAAGACTATTAAAATAAAAATAAATAAGCAGTAAGAGCCAAAGAGTTTGACCACTGAAGAGACTGCATATTGACCAAGATATTACACATTGTAGATCTTAAGACAGCACATGGCTCCCAAAGACACTCTAAAAACTGTTTCTGAAATGCCATAGTAACTGTGTTTAGTTTTTCTTTCCTGTTCTAGAATAATTTACTCCTAGGTCTTCTCATTTCTTTACCCTGTTGAGAGTGTGTCTGTGGCACACAACTCAGATGCCAAGGGTGGCCTTTATCTTAAAAGAAACCTGCATATTCCAGATATAATCCAATCCCATCAACTGCAACTGACCAAGCTCGCCAAGGTCTTCAGAGAATTATTAGCTACCCTACATTGTAACTGAAGGTTACAAGGACATAGATGGTCTTCTGAATGCAAAACCTCTGCTCCACCATTAAGCCATTCTTGGCTTCTCACACTGCTTTTCAGGCAAGTGCACATACTGTATAAGAACATAAACAATTTTCACTGGACAATTATACCATATATGCAATTAGTCTCAAGCCAAGTATGCTAATTGCACATATTAGTCTGAAAAATATCCTGTGTGAGTTAACAATAGGAAACAGTGTTGCAGTTATTCATTAACTTTCCCAAGTCAACCTTTGATATTGCAATCAATTACAAAGGACAAGTATATGAGAACCACCTCAGATGGAGAGAAGTAAAAAGGACACACGACACACCAGGCTGCCTTTTTCAATCTTGGCTATTTATATCTGGAACAACAATACAGCGACCCAGTACAGGGAGATTTAAGGTGTCAGACTAGCAGCCGGCAAGCCCAAGAAGCCCAGTCTCAGCTGCAGAAATTCACTGGAAATTGAGTCATGGCGATTGGACTTTTCTTAATGAATCTAGATATGAATTTAGCAAATAAAGATATACCTAGCAAAGATATACCTGCTATATCTAGCAAATATACCAGAAACCACACATCATGTTGCATGATGGAATTTGTAGTTTCACGCTTCTGGAAAACAACAGGTGGGGAAAAGCTAGAATTCAGACTCTGAAAGCTGAAATAGATGAATAGAAGATGAAGAAAGAATGTAATATAGGAAGCTGAGTAACAAAGTCCTTACCTTTCTCAAAAGTGTTCCAGCAGGATTATGAGAAAAACTGCTGGACTGAGGAGACAAATACACATCTTCGAATAATACTGCAAAGAAGCGAAATGTTCTTTGAAAAATGTTTTAAAGGTCATCTGCTTCTCTCATCCCATTTCAAGAGAAGGTTCAAGAGAAGCAAGTTTTGTCATTTGCTCTCCATTTCCCTCTTTTCATCTCGTTCATATGTCACATTTACTGGAGAGTAACACTCCTCCTTAAGAATCACACTGCAACATTGCAGATACCTGCTTCCGGTGATTCATAAAGTCTTGGGGCGCTCCATGTTTAGTTCCCACAGAAATTGTTGTCCATAACAGGCCAATAATGTTGACAGTTTTAAAATATTCCACTTCCCGGGGAATTCTTTCTAAATCCACTTGTTCTGCTCATATTTAAAGAGGAGAACAAATCAGCTCTGGAGGGAATGGGCCTATGGTTACAACCCCATCATTTTTGGTAAGAAACATGATAAGCTTTTGAAAAAAGGCTGCCTATCAAACTGATCTCACCCAGGTTAAGGATTCCCTCCCTCTTTGCTGCCAATTTACCTGGAGAATGTTCCTCTTGAACACCTTGGAGAATATGTGGGGGGAGTAGCCGAGCAGGAGAAGAGAAAAGCGAAGGGCTCAGCCCCAAATCAGAACAGCTGTGGCTTCGGGTTCCAATCCCAGGGGAACATAGCTGCATATTTCCCACTGCAATATCAAATGAATCAAATTTACAGGCTATTATTTACAGGTAGTCCTCAACTTATGACCTCCCAAAATTTCTGTTGCTATAAGTGAGACATTTGTTGAGTGACTTTTGCCCCATCTTATGACCTCTTTGCCATAGTTGTTAAGTGGACCTCTGCAGTTAAACAAGTTAGTAACCTGTTTGTTAAGTGAATCTGGCTTCCCCGTTGACTTTGCTTGTCAGAAGGTCTGAAAACATGACCTCAAGACATTGCAACCGTCAGAAGTATGAGTCAGTTGCCAAGTGTCTGAATTTTAATCATGTGACCACAGGGATGCGGCAACGGTCATAAATGTGAAAAATGGTCATAAGCCACTTTTTTCAACAATGTTGTAGCTTCGAATGGTCACTAAATGAACTACTTTAAGTCGAGGACTACCTGTATTTCCACATACAGGAAGTCCTTGACTTACGACCATGAGTCATAAAAGAGCCAAGGTTGACTACCCCTGCATTACAGCATCCCCACTGTCACATGATCAGATCTGGACACTTGGCAAACGGCAGACACTTACAAACGGTTGCAGCATCCCAGCGTCATGTGATCGCCATTTGTGACTTTTCTAGTTAGCTTCTGACAGACAAAGTCAATGGAGGAAATCAGATTCGCTTAATGACTGTATGACCTACAGGGATTCACTTATGATAGCAAAAAAAAAAAAGGTCATAAAATCAGGGGAGATTTACTTAACAACCACCTTATTTAGCAATGGAAATTTTTGGTCCCAATTGTGGTTGTTAAGTCAAGGACCACCTGCACTCATTTTAAAAGCAGATGAAGTAATAAGAAGCAAACCTATTAACAGCACTGCTACCTCTCAGTCGTATTTAGTAAGCCTCTTAACCATTAAAGCATACTGAATTTCATAGAGCTTCATTCTTACTAAACTTGATGCCTTGACCCCCACCAACCTTTCAGCAGCCCCTTTTTTGGAACTTTTCTGCCTATTTTCAGTCAAACACTTACTAGTGGAGACCTGCAAAGGGGACTGGATGGAGAGCCAGGGACTGGCTTGGGGTTCTTCTTCCTCCTCTTCCTCACAAGAGGAATAATAGTGCACCAGCTCCTGCCTGAAAACAATTGAGATGCCTATTAAGACAATGAAGAGACAATATGAGGCAAGAAAAAGAAGGCCTACAGGGGATTTTTCCTATTTCGGGGGGAACAAGATGTAAATAATCTTTTAATGGCTGCTTTTGGCTTACAGAGGTTCCATCTGAACACCATCCTCAAAGCTTTTTCAGTTACAATTTTATTCTCCCCATCTTAAATTCCCCTCAAACCACCTCTTACAAAGGAAGCTTCCTCTGTTTTGAATGAAGGCAGGTAAAGAGGTCTAACTTGTATGAATCATATCTGATAACACTTGTTATTAGGTAAGATTAACACAGTAAGACATGGTCAAATGTAAGTGAGCAACTGAGGTCAGTAATAGGAGGTCTAAAAAGCCGTGTTTCATCTGCTTTAGAACGGAGATGGCGTGCTTCTTGACTTCAAAAAGTCCTTGTCTGTTTTAAAAAGCCACAAACATTTTAAAAATGGTCTAATACAGGGGTAGTCAACCTTGGCTCTTTTATGACTTGTGGACTTCAATTCCCAGCTGGCTCAGGAATTCTGGGAATTGAAGTCCATGAGTCATAAAAGAGCCAAGGTTGACTACCCCTGGTCTAATACAAACCCACAGCGATTTAGGAATTCAGTTTTACAAAATATGAAAATACAGCATTCAATTCCTACCTCACCAATGTGTGTCCAGGGCCCCCACTATATTGATGCAGTTTATTGTAAGCCATTTGTGCTGAATACACAGAAAATGTATTCTCATCCCTACATTCCTGGTCGCCATCAAAATTCCAGCCTGTCAATAACAGTTTCAAGGATAGAGGGGGGGAAAAGTTAAACTCTTTAGAATCCGATTTATATTCTGTGGGTTATAAAAAATAAGTTTTATTGTAAACAAAATTGGAATAGAATAACATTTTCCCTATGTTAAGAATATCTTTCTGAAAATTGATAAAAACCAGACCTGAATCACGAAGGAAGGAAGGAAGGATTACATGCTCAAGTATGCATGCATGGGTTAATATTTAATATAAATGAAACAGTTCTAGAAAATAAAAAATGTGAAGTATTCAGGGTGGATTGTTTTTAACAGACTAGTGGATTTAGCAGAGATTAGCAAGGATTTTGCTAAACTACTGCATGCCACGGGTTTAATGAGAAAATCTATTTCAAGCAACCAAAAATATTTGCATCTTAATGTCAAGTTCTGTCTAAAAATACTTCAGCGGGTGAAGGAGCCTCCCTATTAAAGTGACTTATTGGAAACTAGCAGAATATTTTTTTTCCTGCCCAGTTCATAATTATTTGGAATTCATTGCCATGCCACATAGACAGTAATGGCTTATATAAACATATGGAAAGGATATATTCCTTGCCTGTTAGTAATTAGAGTGAAGCAACTTGTTTAGAGACACATGGCAGGGTAAAATACTGAATGCCAGACCTTGGGTTGAACATCAGGATTGCAAACATCAAATGGCTGCTGATTGGTTATTGTGGGAAACAGTATGCCAGACTAAGAAAATTGTTGGTCTTACAAAACAGAATTTCTTATGTCCAGACACCGACACAATCTAATAAATCATTTCTTTTCCTTTGATGGAAACAAGCCCTCATTAACCTCTCCCATATTACAAGTTATGATGTCTGACACAAAAGAGCAATTTATTCTCTACTGATTTTTTTTTTTTTTACAAAGCAACAAAGAAATTGCACCTGTAGGATCAAATGGGAGTCCAATTTTGCTAATATCCAGAAGATTAGTGTTTGCAGGCTGGTTAGGCTCTGGTAATGGACCCTTAAAACTGGGAAAGGAAGTTGATTGTTTCTGGAAGGATGAAAGAATAGAAGACACATCTCCCACATCAGGCAGACTCTCTTCCTCCAGGTGTGGGACAGCATGGGCAGAGTCCTTTCCAGCCTCCAGAGCAAGGTACTTGCACACTTTCCTGTTCACACCGCCACGCCGGTCTATAAAACAATGATAATGCAATCATGCTCAAGGAGCTGAATCTCAGGTTTGACAGTATCTGCCTCATCAAAGCAGGAGCCATAAGACGCTTCTCGCGTAAGAAAATTCTGCACTGAGTTTATCCAGCTGCAATACCAATTTCCTTAGCTCAATCAGTTCTCACATTTTTTATTTCCCTTTTTAACCTCCCCAGAAGGGCAAAACCCCACTTATCTAGTTTTTTTCTTGGCTAAGCTATGCAACTATTACACAGTACCTGCTGTCCATCAAAAAGCAACAAGCATATTATGTCACACCCACTACCTGCCTCTGCCTGGTATCAACTCAAGATCCAAAGAGGACAAGAAATGTCTAAAACTACTGAAGTCGTCAATGGATGTGCTGCAATGGCTGATTGTGCAGAAGAAGGAAGCAAAACCTACAAAGCACAACACACCAAAGCAACAAGTGTGGAAACCCCAAGCTTGTGGAATACTTCCCAGACCTGATTTGCGGGTCCGTCTCCTCTTTCTGGGTTTCTTGTAGACGCCCAGGGGTTTGGGATTTTTTGCCCGTGGTGTGACTTCTCTGCGCTCTCTCTTCAAGGCAGGTGTCACCACTTGCTGAGATCCAACTGCTTTTAAGAAAAAAAAAATACGGACCACAAGTTTTGCTCAGGTATATCCTCTGCACTGTCTAACCATGGGTGTTCTCTGCCTCTATTCTGGCATTTCCTACCTTTTTGCTCCCTGCCACGACCTTGGAGCAGTGACCTGGCTCTATCGATGCTTGTCTGCAGATGTTCAATGTAACGAAGGACTCGGAGCAGGATTTCTTTCTATTTAAATATTAAAAACGCAAAATTAAAGAGCAGAAACAGGAAAAGAAACATCTGCCATTTATATTCAGTATAGTTTGGAATCAGGACATTAACTCTGTTGTACAACTGGGCCCAATTTGAATTTCTGTGTAGATCCAAAATTATGGAACATTTCTTTAACATTTATGATAAATTATTTTATTATAATACCTTTGTCAACCTCTTACAACTGGTCTGCATTGGTATGGGTAACATCTGAGCCAATTCTTTAAGTGTGTTGGTGTAGTTATTGCGTTTCCTTCTATTAAAAAGGAAGAGAGAAGGAATGTTAGGTATTTCTTATAAATACATAGACTCCCTTACTATATACATTAGCACTTGCTATTTTTATTCTCCAGATGCAATACTCTCATTGTCCAAATACAGAATTTAGCATCCTAAACAGCCTAGTACCATCCTTTGGATGTTATTAAATTGTCAAATATTAATATTTAATACATTAATATCACTGGAAGAACTTTTAATGCCTTCCACTTCATTCTATTCAATGCGACAGTCTCAGATAGATGCATATATGTACTATATCATATACAATTTAGAGCTGTATTAAAACAATCTTTGCTTAACTTGATAGTAATGGTTATTATCATCATCACCATATTATCATCATCACTGAAAATGTTGGATTTTAGGTTGTTTGCTTTCTTTCCTTACCTGTCATCACAATTCTGTTTGAAATTGTTACTGTTTGCTTGCATTTCCTCAGAGCAAACCCACCCTATTTGGTCCCACATCTGTAATGAGAGAAGTGAAGAGAAAGTTTCTTGATTCCTGAATCATAAAACACAAGAAAAAAAAACTGTGATGGGGAAAGTGTAAAGAGTTTGAGAGGAAACCTATTAAGAAAATGTTTTTCAACCTTGGCAACGTTAAGATGTGTGGACTTCAACTCCCAGAATTCTCCAGCCAGCATACTTGCTAAGATTAAAAAACATTACTATAATAGGACAAATTGCATATACAATGGAGTAAAGGAATTAGGAGACAGGAGTTCCTCAGAGGAAGACCCCTAAAACAAAGAAAATGTTCCCTGAATGGAATGCTCCATTTTGGAATTAAATGGAAAAGAATGCTATATTTTCTTGCATGGGCTAAATGGAAACCAGACCTACTGAACTCATATGCCAAATATCTACTATATATCTGCAAGGGCCTCAAGACTACAATATCAGCTATCAAGCTCATTCCAGACACCAAGAAGAGCTGCGCTCCAAAGAAAAGATCACAAGTGGTACAGATTTGTTCCAAAAACAGGATTTGGTCAAAGCCCCAAAGAGATCAACACTCAAGAAAGTAATGGCTATTGCAATTAATGGGAGGAATAAAGTGCCACTGTGATAGATAGGGAACCCTGAACTGACTGGGGAGGAACTATGGAGAGGAAAATCGGCTACATTTTAAATAAATAATGAAATTCAGTCGATCAATGGGGGGAAACACCAGTACAGTAAAAAAAACAAAAAACACCAGTGAATTTAGGGATTCAAAATGGCAGTAAAGCTTCTAGAAAGAGATTCTCCAGGAAGAACAGAAAAGTGGGGAACAACATTGTGTTATATGAACTATGTAAGAGAGAGACAGCATGAGAGAGCATAGGGGAACAGATCTGTTTTGGGGGGTATCCTATAATAATCAAACAGCGGTGAATAGCCCATCCAAAAGGTAAACTTTGGTTAACTTTCTTATGCGCTACAAACTGAAGGCCAGAAAGGAAATAACAGCCACTTGTGACTACCCATAAAAATCCTTTTTTTGAGAGAGAGTGAACCCAGGTCCCGCCTGGAAGTCCTGGGGAATAAAGATTATTTGGGAAGGGGGTAGTACAGAAGTAAAACTTTATTTCCGAGAGGAGAAAATAAAGGAAGATGTCAACAGTCTAGATTTTGAAAATTGGCTATTTTTATCAGATTTTGCTGGAAGACTTCCCCTCAGAGAGATCCAAAGTTGGTAAGGATGGCAAATTGATGCCAGGATCAGATGCAAAAAAGGAGAAAGGAAGAAAAAGAAAGAAGGAAAAAGAAGGGAAGGGGAAGAAAAAAAAGGAAGGAGGAAAGGAGGAAGGGGAAGAGGGGGAGAAGAAGGAGAAGAGGATGATGATGATGATGCTCATGAGGCAGAATATAGCTAATTTCTCTCTATGGGGGCATTGAAAGCCCTTCCCCCGGGCCTGTCTGAGGAACAGATCCATCTAAGGGATTCAGCCAAGGGATCTCCTTTGCACCCCATTTCAAGCTCACCCTCCTCTCTTTTGACCAGCTTGCTCAAAACTGAAACCCCACCCAAGACTTATAAACCACGATGGGCAGTGCCATACATCCCCAGACCATCATGGCTTATTCCCCAAAACCAAGTTTGGCTGCTCAGGGCTCCAAACCCTCCAGCCAGGCTTGGCCTGAGTTAGAAAAGAGAATCCAGAAGAGTTTTAGCCAAAGAGAGGATAACAGTTTATGTATATTTTTTGAGGGGTGGGGGGTGGGAGGAAGGAGGAAAGGAGAGGAATAAAGGATGAGGAAGATTGGGGGACACCCCCAATTCCTCAGATCTTAGTAAACTAGCAATGGGGGGGGGACATTCATGGAAAGGGAGGAGAGCAGCTGATAGGATCTCCTCAGGATACCTTCGGCTGCCTTTATGGCGGACACGAGCACGAAGAGGGGAGGGAAGAAGGGGGAGCGAGAAGCAGCAATCACAGCGGCGCGTGCTCGTGCCAGGCCGGGGCCCGCGCAATTCAGGGGCGCGCGCGCAATGCGGGGGCGCGTGCCGGAGTGGGCGGGGAGGGAGAGGCGCTCGCGGGAGGGGCGGAGTTTGCCCATGAAAGGCCAGAGCGGCGGGAGGGCAATCCCTCCCCCTCACAGGGCAGGCGGAGGGAACCGATTGGTTCCTTGGCGGAGGGCGGGGAGGCGGAATTTAAGGGAAAGAGAGGCTGGCCAATCCGCTGGCGTGGCTCTCGTTCCCGCCAAAAGGCGGGAGCAGACGCCAGTATAAAAGGCGCGGGTTGCTGTGGGATGGGATGTAGGGGGGTGGTTTCTTTTGAGGGGCGGCCGCAGATCGGCCTCGCTTGTCCGTCGCTGTTATTATTATTATTATTATTTAAATTTATATACCGCCCTATCTCCCTTACGGAGATTGTTGATCAATAGAGCAGCGCTCCTCAAGCTTCACGAGTTGAAGATGTGTGGACTTCAACTCCCAGAATGCTCCAGCCATGCCATTTGAAGCACTAATTTATATACTATATTTCAGAGGGATAACTGTGGTGCCCACCCCTATTAGACTTATCCATAAATAAATGGTGGAATATATTGACACAAATGCATCCCAGCCTGACATGCAAATGATGTATATGCTGAATAAAAATCACATTTAATGCATTTGCCAAAACTGGTTTGGTAAAAGGTCTTTGCGGTTCCTAATGTTTCTAGCCTATTAAAAAGATATTCCTTTTACGTTTTTATTTACCTTTGAGGGAAAATAAACTCACACAAGCTATAAATAATTGGCATAATGCCAATAAAAGGATTTAGCCAAGAAATAATATGAAACAAAGCATAATTATATGCAGGGGGGGAAGTATTCCAAAATAAATATTTTTAATATTAGCTTGAACCATGAGATGGGCAGCAAATAAATTTGATAATAATTTTTGAACTAAATAATATAAATAACACACTCTTGAGAAAAAAGGACCCACCCACAAAGAGGTTGCTTTCTTCTCATCCTTTCATTTCCTTTGAAATCCCTTCTTTCTGCCCCCAAATAACGAATGTTTATTCAAACAATATTGATTTAGCTCTCCAAGGCAATTGTGGCTTTCATAGAACTACCCTTCATACCATTTTGTGTAACAAACAAAAATCAATCTCTGAAATTTCACGCAGAAATAAAAAGCTAGCTGTTTGCAGATAGGAAAACTGGCCTGTAATGAGTGACCTTTTCACCAAGTTTATATTCCTAGATTATGCTTGCATTTTGCTGGTTGGGATTGTATATTTATTTATCCAGGCTGTATTCACAGCTGTGCTTGGTTCCTTTCACCATCTGAGCAGCTTAACAGGTTTAATGAACTATCCATTCGATAAAAGCTTTTATGATGCCTTTGATTTCTTTCTCCGCAGATAAAATATATATTTATATAGGCTTCCCTGATGTAAAAATATATTTTTTTTTAACTTTTAGGAGATACCTACTCGCTAAATTTTCCTGAGTGGAGAATAAACACATTCTTTAGAATTCTGGGATCATCCAATTTGTGGTGATTCCCCCCCCCCTCTGTTCCTATAGCTTTAATGCTAACACCACAAGCAAAACAAAGCAAGAGGACCTAATGTTTACCTTGAATTGAGTTTCTTTGCAGGGAATGTTTGTGTGAATCATGTGGCTTTTTCACAGCAGCTCAGAGGCTGAACAATTAGGGGGGTTTTGAGATAGCAGAAGATCGATCCCTGTTTTATTGCTGTCTCCCTCCCCCCCTCCCCATTTCAGGGCTGCAACTCTGCAATATGATCACAACTTTGCTGCACGTCTCATCCCAGAGAATCTAAAATGTGTTTGGTTGTTCCTGTACATCTTCTTTCTTCCTCCCTTTTCTGCAGCAAAAGCAGAGTTTGCTTTATCCCTTTTGCAGCAGCTTTTGTATGCCAACTGCGACTTATCAGATCTAATTTTTATAAACATCAGAAGGCAGACGCAGCAGAGGAAAAACCGAGACGGGGTTGGACCAGACGTTTCTGATTGCACACCAGGCGATTTTTGGAGGGCTGCAGGGGTCGTTTCTCGCTTTTGATGGCACCCCTTTGCATTGGGGGATGACAGCTGAGATGGGTAGGTAAGTCAGATGCCAGCTTTAATTGGACTCTTCCAAAGAAATCCTCTCCCTTATCGCTTCTTTGTAAGGAGTATTTATTTTCCAGACTTGAGGGTGTGATATCTAAGCTCTTGCTTTTATAAGACTAAATCTTGCAACATACTGTACATCACCTTCCGATAGAAGGGAATGTTTATAGCTCAGGGTTGAACTGTGGGCTAGCACTGATGATGTTACTTAGTTTGGAAATGAAACTAAATAAAACTAAGAAAATAACCAAGCTTGGGGAGCACCAAGGACCCCATAGTTGTCCTCCTCCTCTACACAAACCTCACTCCCTTCTAACACTGATGATGTTACTTAGTTGGTAAAGAAACGTCTACAAGAAAATAACCAAGCTTAGAGAGCACCAAGGATCCCACAGTCCTCCTCCTCCTCCACAAACCCCACTCCTTTAAACTCAGCATTGATGATGTTAACTAGTTGGGTTATGAACTGTCTGCAAGGAAACCACCAAACTCAGAGAGCAGCAAGGACCCCAAAAATACAGCACCTTGTGTCAACTCTACAAACTCTTTGTTTGTCGGAACCGTGACACCTTGTACATCTGATGCTTCCTTGCTATACATGTGGACAATTTAAATGTTTCTGATTTGCAGACATGGGTAAAGCGGCGAGTATGATGGCGAAATCGGGCGGAATTTTCAGCGGAGTTTTCTCCTCCTCACCCAGCCCCATTTCACTGAGGTTTCCTTTTCTCAAGCATGGAAGGTGATGGGACAACGATCTGCAGAGTTTCGAAAACCGGAAGGGAAGACTCTCCTTAACGGAGCCCAAATGGCCCCACTCTTGTAATGGGTAGCTTGGAGAACTCATCCTTTGCGAAGCTGCGTCAGTGCTCGCTAGCCGCTAACGCAACCTCTCCGTTTGTTGTGGACATCCCCTATTTGCTAAGTGACAGCCTGATTGCTCTGCTGTCCATCGTGGGCAATCTGTTCATCTGCACGGTCATCTTGCGGAACAGGAAGTTGCGTTCCACCGTCACCAATTATTTTCTGCTCTCGCTGGCTGTGGCAGATTTCCTGGTCGGGGCGGTGGTCATCCCCTGTGCCCAGTTCACTGATGTGGGGTTGCCCCAGTCCAGGCCACAGCTGTGTCTCTTGATGCTGTGTTTGCTCTTGATGTTTACCCAAGCCTCCATCTTTGGGCTCCTGGCTATTGCGGTGGAGAGATACATCTCCATCCTGAAACCGTTCCAGTACCAGTCTCTCCTGAGCCCTCGCAATTCCTTGCTGGTGATTTCGGCTTGTTGGCTTCTGTCAATCTTGACCAGCCTGGTGCCTCTGATGGGCTGGCACGACCCCCTGCCCCCCAGCAGGGAATGCCTTTTCAACAGCATCATCACCAGCACCTACATGGTCTACTTCAATTTCATGGGGTGCATGCTGGCCCCCCTGGTGGTCATGCTGATGCTGTACGGACGCATCTTTTCAGAGGTCAGGTGTCAGATCCGGAAAGTGGCCGAAGGAGAGGTCAATATCAGCGCCCAAAAGAGACGCCAGATCATCATGCACAAGGAGCTTCGGATGGCCACTTCGCTCTTCCTCATCCTTTTCTTCTTCATTCTGTGTTGGCTGCCGCTTCACATCCTCAACACCGTCATGCTCCTGTGCCCGACCTGTTGTATCCCCAGTCAGCTGACCCTGGCCACCATAATCCTCTCCCACGCCAACTCTGCCATCAACCCGGTGGTCTACGTCTTCCGCGTGCGATCCTTCCGAGACGCCCTTGAAAGCACTCTCCTCTGCATCTGCGGCTCCAGCCCATTCTCCACATCTGGGAGGATGCCCGCCAACGTGTTAGAGGTGCCGCCACTTCCTAACACTTTCCTGCCAGGCAAGTGAATTTAAAAGCTAGAGATTTGGGGTCAGGATTAGGATTTTTTTTCTCTGTTGGTGTTAGGGTTTGATCAGGGGTATGATAGTATTTAATGGAAAATGCTGGAATTAGTAAATATATTCCCAAATAGCCCTTCCTTACCAGAGATTAAAAAAAATAAATAATCAGGCATTTTAAGGAGGCAAGAAAAGGGCATTCACAGGACTAAAAATACTTATTTTCTCTGAATTAAAACACATGTAGGCATGACCAGTCTCAAACCTCTGGATAAAAAACTCTGTTCCACCCGGCGAGAGACATCTGGCTGCAAAAATACTCTTCATTTGGTTTGATCCAAGAATCTTTAAGATAGGCTGCCTAACCAGGTGGTGAAGACATGAGGAAAGAAGGCCCAATGACTTGCCCTGTCAGAAATGTGATAAAATTTGTACTGTCTCCAAGTGCAAACAAGTTTTATCCAACATCTAACCATCTAACATCACCAGGTGAGAGAAACCCAGTTATTCATAAGTGTAAGTCTCTCCAACATCATGAGATACTGGGTAGAAGTGCCTGTGCCAGTAAATAAAAAGCAAATTCAACAAATTCAACAAAATGTTTATTACAAAAAGGGGGGGGGAAAAGGAAAAATCAAAACCCCACAAACAAACTCAAATGACGGGAATCTCATGAATCAGCACATCCCAGAACTACACGTGTGTGACCAAAGAAACATCTGAAGGAGAGTTGAGCGTAAGATATCCCTGCCTTAAAACTAAAGGCAACAGATTCCAGTCTCTTGACAAGGATCCTGTGTATGGCATCTTGGTGTGGCCAGGCTCGTGAGCCATCTTGGCCTGTTTACTTGCCAGCAATAAGGGGATTCCTTAGCACGACAATGACTGAATCTCCCCGCAGGAACATTTTTGAGATGTAGCGGTCTTTATTGACCGGCTTGGACTTCTTCTTGCCTTTCCCACTCTTGGGCACCTCGGTCCACATCTCCTTGACGTTCTCCAACACCATGTTGCAGTGCCTAGTGGAAGAAAGGTCTGTTATACAGAGACAACATTCCCCCAGAGGCTTCTGGTCAATTCCCAACAACCCTGCTGTTCCTTGACTCCCCACAGAATTCAAGACTGAAAAATATACGGATCTGAAATGGGAAAAGAACTTTCTTTGAGTCCACTGTGTGATGTGTTTATGCTACCCGCTGGCATCTACTTAAAGGAGTTATGAGCTTTCCTGGGAAGTCACCATAGCCATATTATTGCAGTCCATATGAATCCCACCCGAGCCCAGGAAAAGCACCAGTTCTGAACCTGTGCTGGATCCAAAGCACCTTTACTTCTCGGCAACCCTATAGCTGCATATAGGCAGTCCTCGGTTTACAACCACAACCTAGCCCAAAATGGCGCCCCCATTTTATGACCTTTTTTGCCACAGATGAGTGAATCACTGCAGTTGTTAAGTGAATCATGCTGTTGTTAAGCGAATCTGGCTTCCTCCACTGACTTTGCTTGTCGGAGGTCAGCTGGGAAGGTTACAAAGGGTGATCACACGACCCCAGGACAGTGCAACCCTCATAAGTGCATGGCAAATTTTGATTAGAATAGAATAGAGCTGGAAGGGACCTTAGAGATCTTCTAGTCCAGATTAGGTGACCATGAGGATGCTGCGACTGTCGTAAGTCTGGAAAACAGTCACAAGTCATTCTGTCCACTGCCATTGTAACGTTGAACAGTCACTAAACAAATGGTTGTAAGACGAGGACTACCTGCATTTCTCCTGAACAAGAAACCTCAAATGAATGAGAGCACGACAGAATTGTTTCACTGAAAATATAAACTAAGCCCGGAGATAATCTGACGGAATGGAGACGTTTCCAGATGGGAACCTACCTATCAAAGGCCTTGACTCGCCCCAGAAGCTTCTTGTTATTGCGACAATTGATGAGCACCTGGGTATTATTTTTAACGGATTGTGTGAGCACTGACAGAGGCCCTGTGTTGAACTCTTCCTCTTCCCGTTTTTGCAGTTCCTCGGGAGTCATCTCACTTTTGGGCTTGTTTAAGAGGCTCCTAAAAAAAAAAAGGAAAATAAATATATAATGTTAGATTTTGTAGTTATGCCGTAAGCCTTTAATTGGATGAAAATAAGTTCTCTTAATAGCACTATATTTCTTTTAATGAATTATTGGGGGAAAATGCAGTAGATAAATTATGCCCCCTGTTCAGATAATCACCATGCATAACTAAAGGGGAACGAGAGGCAAAGTCCCATATTAAGCTCTCCCAGTAATTCTGCAACAGAAAAGCACCAACTTCTGTTCTGCACTAATTTAGAACAGTTACCAACACGATGCTACACATATAAATCACCAGACTACAGCTGTTCTTCAGAATAGAGTAGAAAGTTATTACTACTATTTGCCTACTTAGGGTCCCTGCTCTCTAGTTTCCAACTACAAAGATACAAACTTACTGTATATCTTAAAGAGAGAAAAAATGTATGGATTGCAAGGCCTGGAATCTCCACCTATGTTTTCCTCCAACCAATAGCCAAATAGGTCCAGAATAAAGGGAACAATGATCTATTACATTAAGAAAGGGCTGTTTGATGGAAGACAGTATAGCTACCAGATATTGAAGAGTCAGTGCTGAATCTCTCTTGGTCAAGCACAGCACGGCTTACAAGCTACGACTGTCCCCTGAAGTGGAAAACGCACTCCCTGTGTCTGAGGGCAATTGGAAAGACATAATTTATTTCCTTATTTCATTAAAGTCATTATGGCCACCCAACCCTATTGACTCTAGAGTCTGCAGACTGCATTTCCACAACCTACAAATCAGCCAGTCTTGTTTTAGCTCAGTATGTCAAAACACCCGCCCATGGGTTCATATATGGCTTTGTATGCTTTGGAATCTGAGAAAAACAGGTTGAACCAAGATTAACTGCAGAGAAGAACCATCAGTCATTACACTAATTGGTAATCAGCATACTACAGAGCCACTACAGAACTGAAAAATATAAATAGAATAGAACAGAATAACAGAGTCGTTAGAGACCTGGGAGGTCACCTAGTCCAACCCCCTGCTCAGGCAGGAAACCCTATGCCATTTCAGACAAATGGCTGTCCAGTCTCTTCTTAACAACTTCCAGCACTGGAGCAGCCACAACTTCTGCAGGCAGGTTGTTCCACTGATCAATTGTTCCAACTGTCAGGAAATTTCTCCTTAGTTCTAGGTTGCTTCTCTCCTTGATCAGTTTCCATCCAAATAAAATTCCATCCTTCCAAATAAAGGAGCTCTAAGGATCTTGAGGAAATGGTGACTTAATGAAGTACATTGTTTCCAGCATCTAGTGCTCTCTCCCCTTTCATCATAAGCTCTTAATTGTATAATTTCTCTAAAATTTACCTTTTTATGCTGTTTATTGTATGCTCCTCCAGAGTCACGTTTTAAGGGGGGGCGCATAGAAATACGATCACTCAATAAGTAGGTGCCAGGGAAAGAGATCTACACCCCCCACAAAATTCCCCCACAAAATTGGGTGAGTTCATCCCAGCCATACAAGGAAATATCCCCCCCCCCAAAAAAAGCAGTAGGAGTGGAGGGGGGGGGAAATGCAGACCATAAAGTGAGAGGAGGGAGCTATTCCCGAAGAGAGCTGAGAGATATCAGTCTTTCAAGAGGCGCGTCTATTCCAAGGTTTACGGTAAGGCCCATAAGAAGCCTCTGTACATATTTTACACAAACACAAACAAACACAAGAGAGAGAGAGAGACAAGTCCGTCGCCCCCCCACCCCGCAGCCCCTTAATCTCCCTCCCGCCTTCCTCACATGATGCCGCTGCGATGGATCCACCGCTCGCTCGAGAACCGACTCCGGCGCGCTGAGAAAGGAACACTTTCCGCTTCCGGGTTAAAGCCAGGGCGCGCATGCGTCAAAGGCAACAGGGCCAGGAGGGGTTGGGCTCACCCTGGCGGCTGGCGTGGGAACGGCGACGGCGAGCCCAGCGGGTCAAAAAAAACCCAACACACCACGTTTTCCACAGCGCATGCGCCGGAGTTCGCCTTCTGAGGGGGAGGCGAAGCGTGGGAAGCGCGAAGCCTCCACGCGGGAAAGCAAGACGGTCGTCCCTGAAAGTGGCCGAACAGAAAAGCGCTTGCCTTTCACTCCATTTTGTGCCATCCTGGCTAAACCGACTGGACTTGACTGAACTGACTTGCTACAACAACCCTGCGCGGTAGGCCAGGCTCTCGTGAGAGGCCCGTGGCCTAGCGGAGTTTGCAACCAAGCAACTGTGTCCCCCCCCACACACTTTGGTCAAATTAGACCCCAGTGGCTACTGGCGGGGTCGGTGGATTATTTATTGCACATTTATTGCGTAAATGTGTGTGTGTGGGGGGGGGTATAGGATGCTCCCTGTGCCAGTTTTCCCCAACAACCACAACCCTGCGAGGTGGGCCGGGCTGAGGGGAGAAACACCAGCTCAAAAGTCAGCCAGCCAGCCACTTTCTATGCCTGAAGGAGGATTAGAACTCGGGGCCTCGCAATTCCAGGTCCAGCAACTTCCCGGGACACCAAACTAGCTAAAGGGGCAGCTGGCATCCCTGCCTTGTTGTCAAAAATGGCCCTTTGGGTCAGTCTTCGATGCACCCCAACCGTCCTCATCGGAGAGCCCAGCCTTGTTGCTTCTCCCCTTCGGGTCTCCTTCGGTTCAGGTCCAGCTCTGCATTTCCACTCTTGGATGTTGGGGGAGACGCCGGCTTGGAAAAGAGGGGCCTTCCTCCCCCCCCTCCACCACACACGCTTTGAGGAGAGGAGAGGATGCCGGAGGCGTCTTCGCTGGTTACCTGATCTACCACGGAGGGAGGTTTGCAACACCACAACGGAAGAGCAAGTTGAGGTTTCTGTTGGGAATCCCTTTACGCTTAACGATTGATTGAATTGTATCCTGCCTTTTATTATTTTTACAAATAACTCGAGGGGGCAAATGTACCAGGTATGCCTTGACTTGTGACCACAACTGAGCCCAAAATTTCTGTGGCCAAGCAAGACGGTTGTTAAGTGAACTTTGCCCCATTTTACGACTTTTCTTGCCACAGTTGTTAAGGGAATCACTGCAGTTGATAAGTTAGTAACTCGGTGGTTAAGTCAATCCGGCTCTCTCATTGTCTTTGCTGGTCAGAAGGTCGCAAAAGGGGATCACGTGATCCCCTCGGGACGCTGCGACCGTCATAAACACGAGCCAGTTGCCAAGCGCCCGAATCTTGATGTGACCACGGGGAGGCTGCAATGGTTGTAAGTGTGAAAAACGGTCATCGGTCACTTTTTCAATGTGGTTGTAATTTTGAATGGTCACTAAATGAACTGTTGTAGGTGGAGGACTACCTGTGTTCCTTCTCCTATTTCCCCACAACAACAACAACCCTATCGGGTGGGTTGGGCTTAGGGAGAGTGACTACCAAAGGTCACCTAGCTGGTTTTGGTGCCTAAAGTGGGACTAGAACTCCCCGTCACCTGGTGATTGGCCCAAAGTCACCTAGTTGGCTTTCCTGCTCAAAGCGGAACTAGAACTCACCATCTCCTGGTCATTAGCCCAAGGTCACCCAGTCAGCTTTCATAGCTAAGGCAGGACTAGAATTTATGGTCTCCTGCTGCCTATCTAGCCTGATATTTTACTCATTAGACCAGGGGTGTCAAACTGCCGGCCCATGGGCCGGTTTCATCATACTGGAGCCGCGCCCACCCCATTGCCAGCAATGGCGAAAAAGCTCCGATACGTTGCGCGACATCACATGACGTCGCGAGTTTGACATGTCTGCATTAGACCAAATTAGCTGTGTTTATTGAACCTCTGCTCTTGCTCTCATATCTGTAATTCTCTCTCTTGGAAATCAGTTTTCTTGCTCTGGTGCCTGAATACCTCATGTCCCATTTATAGAAATGTAGAAAAAGACTTTATTTCCATTTATGTAATTGGGGGAGCTGAGGTGTGTGAGGCCTAGACACGTTGATTTGAGTTGGTTTAGCTCCTTTTCAAAATCTAAGCACCTTGTCCAAAAATAGAGATGAAAAACCAGTTCTCCTAAACTTGACTCCCGAAGCAACATCCGACATTCAAACATTGCCGAACTTTTTCAGGCAGGCTGTGGTAAGGCAGTGCCATCCTCACCAGCTTGTTTACGCAAAAGGCCTCTGCTGCTGAGTTTTGCAGCCTTTTTCCTAAAAAATTTGATTCAGAAGAACTGAATCACCTGTTTTCTTTTGTAGCCTACCTTACAACTTTTTCATTCGCTTTTAAGAATGGGGGAAGACACAGAAGACGATGGATGATCTTGTCTGGGCTCAAAACCTGAACTGGCGGGGCCTGATTAGAACTTGAACAAAAGTTCCACGTTTCAGAAGGGCCAAAAACTGGGCTGGAAAACTGAGAAAACAGTCCAGAATAAAGCCGTAGCAAATCTTACTTCCCCGTGTTGCACACAAAGGACATGTCCAAGTTGTCACCAAGACTCAACGTCGAACTCACGGAAAAAGACTCGTCTGATTAAGCTGTCAGATCACAATCTGTTTTCATTTTAAAATAAACAAGAGTTGCCAAAACATTTGCCAGCCTTAGAAATTACAAATGGGCAGCAGGGATTATTCGTTGGACTAGAATGTGGTGAAACAAAACAGTCAAGCGCAAACAAATGAACGCTGGAAAAGAGCCAAAAGACGGAACGAGGGTCAGGAATCTGGATTTTGGCCAGCTGGGGCTCAGGGGGCACGGAAAAGAATCTCTGCATCTACTGCAGGTGGTCCTTGAGTTACAACAGTTCATTTACCGACCGTTCGAAGTTACAACAGCTCTGGAAAAAAAATGACTTATGACTGTTTTTCGTACTTGATTGTTGCGGCATCCCTGAATTGTTATAGGCTGGGTTTCCTGCTTGAGCAGGGGGCTGGACTAGAAGATCTCCAGGGTCCCTTCTAACTCTGTTCTTTTATAATTCTCCTGCACCTTCCGCTCTTTCCTGTATTCTGTTCTGTAAGATGAGAACAAGCTGACTTGTTCCCCTTTGCCCCCTCCCTGGAATTCTGCAACCCCCAAACGAAGCCCCCTCCCTTCCCCTTAGCCCCAGTTGATCCAGGAATGTTCTGGTTGGTTGGAAGGGATGGGAGTTGTAGTCCTGAAATGCAGAGGGCGCCCGCTTGGGAAAGGCAGCCATCAAAAGAGCCGGCCAGGCCAGGGGAGACGGAAAGCCGCTTCCTGCAGGGGGGCACCCAGAGGCTCTGCGCCTTCTCCCCGTTTGCTTCCTTTGAGCGACTGGGGGGGGGCTTCGTCGTAAGAGAAGGAACCGGCGGGCGTCTCCCCCCCCTCCCCAAATAAGTCCTGCCTTAAGCGCCTCCGCCGAGAAGGACCCCCCCCCGGTCTCCCCTCGCGGAAAAGGGTTTCGCAGCCGGAGAACGGGGAGGGTGCCTCCTTCGCCCGCCAGGGGGCGCGTTCACACAACCGGTCCGCCGTCCGAGATGCTCGCCGGTGCAGGGAGACCCGGGAGACCGTCCGCCCGAACAGGTGTCTGCGGGACGGCGGGCAGGCGCAGGTCTCTCGCCCCGCCTCGCAGAGCCCTTTGCGGGGAAAGGGGGACTCCGCTCCCGGTGCGCTGGACTACAAACACCATCCTCCTCCTCCTCCTCCAACGGCCGATTAGGGCTGCGGGGTTTGGACCCGGCTCGGGGACGCTGGAATGGTCTAAGCCGGTTGCTCTCCCGACTGATGCAAGGCGGGGGGGGAAAGCCACCGCTACCTTCCTAGGGCTTAATTCGAATTATCCCATTTGAAGTACAGTAACCATATTACACGTGGAGGCGGGCGTCCGGTTTTTTTGGGGGGGCGCAGGGAAAGCAAAGGGGCCCAACCCTACGAATGCATGGGGGGGGGGTAGAAACCTCTTCTTTCCTCGCCTTCCCTTTCCCACCCGATCCTCTCCTGGGCTTGCGCGTCGCGCAAGTCTCGATGCCAAGCCGCGCCCAGGGTAGCATTTATTTATTTATTAAATTTATATACCGCCCTATCTCCCTTGCGGGACTCAGGGCGGTGAACAGGCGATACTAAAAACCACCATAATAAATAAATAAGTTTGTTTTAAAATCGAATTAAATAACATAATCCGGAGTCAACTCCCTTGCAGTCCCGCAAGGTGCTGCAGGCTCCGGAGCAGGCTACCTCCCCTCCAGCCCCCCCCCCACCCCGCGCTCAGCCGCATTCGTCTTCCAGGTGTATCCACCGAGGCTCCCACCTGCCCGAAGAAACCGGCGCGACTCCGGATCGGCGAGCAGGCTCCGCGCGGCTCAGCTGCCTGCGCTGAATTCGGCCTCCCACCGGTCGCGCGTCCCCCCCCCCCAATCCCCCGAGCTCCCATCCGCAGCCGCGGGGGGGCAGCCTCGACCCAGCCAAGGGGCCCGCAAGTGAGGGGGCCGAGCCCCCCGGGCGGCGGAGTGACAGCCTTGCGCCCAATGGGCGCGCAGCTCCGCCGAAGGAGGCGGGCCGGAGAGTTCCCGATTCTGCCTG